CATTAACCAAAAATTTCAGGGAACGAATGACTTCTATATGAACTAGGATAAATAATTTGGCACACAAATTAACAAAATTATGAAGCATTTTTTGATGTGGCATACCTATTTTTACGCTTGTGTGGCATGTAATAGGTAACCTAAAACAAGAAAATGGAGAAAATATCGATATGTTGACATTATGTTTCGAATTCGAATATGATTGCCATTTAACGGGATGAATTAAACAGAAATAGAGTTACTCCGATTCAAAAAAGGTATGACAAACGAACAAATATGTTTAGAAGGAGCAGATCAACAATATCCAACTTCGAATATGATATAGTTTTGGTAAATATATAAGTTTGGGTCAAAACGGATGATCCACCCGTTCGATTTTAAATTTTCAAATTTTTACAATTTTTTGTTTGTTTTTGTTTTGTTGTTTGTTATGACTAAAGAAGTAGGGGAGACTGGGGCACCTTCGGCATCGGGGCACCTTCGGCAATCGCGTTTTCGATATGAAGCTCTCACCGTACATCACTAGTTTCGATACATAGGTATCGAATATCGAAATAAATAACTTACACAAAGTTTGAAATTTCTAGCTAATAAGCTTATTTAGATACATAGGTTTTTGTATTTTTATAGATGTTTCTGTAATATTTCAATTCCATTTCGTAAGTATTTCGTGTATAAAACTTTTTAAATTTTTAAGACAATATTATTAAAAAGTGGTTAACTACGATGTGTATTATTATAGAAATATTTAAAAATATAATATTTTTACAAAACTGATCGAAAAAAATGAAAAAACTATAAAAAGTACATTCGGGGCACATTCGGCATTTTAAATTGGGGCACATTCGGCCATATACAGGTTGTGCAATATTATTTCCTTAAAATGTTTTTGAGTTTGTCTTTAAAACTAATCCTTTAATATGGCTCGAAATTGCATATAAAAGATCAAACGTGCTTATATTGACGAAAATGCGATAGTTTTCTGATGGTGTGTGCGACCTTGATATGTAAACGTCCGCCGCTAGAAAATAAAGCCCTATAATTCAAACATTGTGTGGCGTATTAAAACCAAATAGAGCCTTTAGATAATCAGAATTTCAACCAGACTTAGCGATGACAATTACCCGGCTATGACTATGGTGCCGAATGTGCCCCATCAAATGCCGAAGTACCCCGGGTTGGGGCACATTCGGCGAATTTGACTTTTTTTACAAAACTGTAAAATTTTTTAACTAATACTATTTTTATATATCTTTTTGGTACTATTTTTCATAATTAAGTATCAGAGGACAATAATCAGCCATATAGTTGTTATATATGTTGAATATGTACTGAGATATAGAGCTCTAAAAAAAAGTGCCGAAGGTGCCCCAGTCTCCCCTACTTATTTTAATGGCGGGCATGGTAACTCCATCGAAATCCGAAAACTCCAATGGTGTTAGAAAGAGTACGTGTCTGGCTTCGCTTAAAAATTAACAAAAAGGCGGACATTTGAAAAAAAAAGTTTTTTTGGGAGATCGCCTATTTTTGACCACAAACTAAGTTAAAAAAATAGACCCATAGACCCATGGTTCCTTTTGAGAGTATGCATAGAATCACTTTCTGAGTCGTTGTATGCATGTCCATCCGTCCATGTATTCACGTGAACAAAGTGCAGGTCGCTTTTATGATCCGAATTGGATAAAATTTTGCACAGACCAAATTCAATAGGGACAAACCCTTTGAAATTGGAGAAAATCGGTTCAGATTTAGATTACCTCCCATAAATTTTTTTCCTACGATTTTATATAAATGGGGCACAAAATGCCAACGTTTATCTGTTTTATACAAAATTTTGCACAGAATACTGAATTAAGTACAGATTGACATATGAGAAGTTTTGTTGAAATCTGTTATAATTTAGATCCACCTCCCATATATATTTTTGGTCCGATTTCATGTAAATTGAGATCTGAGATCTCCCAAAGGTTTGTCCGAATGACCTGCCAAATTGAGTGAAATTTCACCAAAATCACTTTCAGGTACAAGGCGACCAGAAATGCGTAGCAGCTATAATTCAACACAAGGTAAAATTCAAATACGTATATCTCCGTAACGAATGGAGGTATTGCCATGAAACTTGCATTATTAGTTAGATGGAATTTTCTCGTTTTCCCTGAGCGAATTCGAAATGACTACCTCTAATGTAACTTAAAAAAATGAGATTTATTAATAAATTTAATCAAATAAGCTTTTTAAGAATCAAAATAAAAACTCCGAACATATAAATGAAATGTTACGACTTAACCTTAACTATTAGTGAAAGAATCACTGTGGATGGAGGTTGCCTTAATTTACGAAGCAGGATGCCATATTTGTTTCATCGTTTTTATTTTACATAGCTTGAATTCTTAACGCTTTTTAATTTTATTAAGGGAGTACGAATATAGATTTTGTATACTGTATATAAAGGTATACTTAAAAATAGTTTTAATATTTAAAAAAGCCTTTTGTCATTGCCAAGCCCTTTCTTTTTTTATTTAAGGGGACTCCCCCGTTCTCGGGGTCAAATTTGATTTAATTCGAATCTACACTAATTCAAGAATGTCCATACAAAATTTCAAGTGAAAATCTCAAGAACTCTTGAAGATATAGCCGATTTATTGTGTCAGCATCAAGTGACGGCTAAAGGACTTCTCAAACTTTAAACGCGTTTTTCTCTTTTGTGAATGGCGGGCACGATAACTCAAAAACTAATAACCCAATCGATTCCAAATTTTTACACGTTTCTCTGTGAGTGTATAGCTATCGTATGAACTAGGATAAAGCCAATCGGTGAAGATCTTCCTCATTTTTTAACTTGGTTTTTGGTCAAAAATCGGCGATTTTCCAAAAATATTTTTTCAAAGGTCCGCCATTTTGTTAATTTTAGAGCGAAGTCAATAATCTTAGTTCATACAAAGCCAAACATGTACTGTTTCTAACACCGTTGGAATTTTCGGATTCCGATGTTCCAGTGAGGAGTTATCATGCCCGCCATCAAAAATAAGGACTTCTCTTTAATTACAAAAAACAACAACAAAACAATTACACAATTTTTTTGTAAATAACTTTTCCTCTCTTTTAAATCTTCAAATACCATTGAAAATTTTGAAAATTTGAAAATTAAAAAAATTTCTTTAAACATTATAGGTTCGAATTCAATATCAACTTGAAACTGAGAAGGGGGAGGGGTTTTTATAAATAATTAAATATATATCAAAATTATTATTTTATCTCAAAAGGGATCCAAAATGACTCACCCACTATACGATGACTATCACCTTAGCATATTGCGTTCACATTCCGGTACATAAAAACTCACAAATGATTTCAAATATATTCTCCGTTCCAGATTCTTCCATTATAAACATGAAAAGTTCTGACAGAACTTTTGTAAATGGAATGTATAATAACCGAAGGGTTTTAACATTACATCCACAATGTCCACTTTCCCATGTAGAAGTCTTACATAGCCAACGACTGTGACCCCACTCCATCGTGTAATAAAATTAGTTTTGCTACAACAACAATATTGAAAAAAGTTATTAAAGGTAATAATACAACAACAACAATATTCATATATTGCATTTCCACGAATCAATGAAACTGGCACTAAAAAAAGTACCACCATACAACAGCATTCCCATCCCCAGTTCAATCTCTCTTTTATTCCATTTGTTTGAGTACGACGCACACCAATGACCAATCATTATTTTTATTTGCGTTTTGTTGTTTCCTTCTCTCCCTATTGTTATTCGTCGTTGGCTTTGGACTTTTGTTGCTGCGCTATCTTTAAAAACTTCCTCTTGAAGATCTTCCTCATTTTTTAACTTGGTTTTTGGTCAAAAATCGGCGATTTTCCAAAAATATTTTTTCAAAGGTCCGCCATTTTGTTAATTTTAGAGCGAAGTCAATAATCTTAGTTCATACGAAAGCCAAACATGTACTGTTTCTAACACCGTTGGAATTTTCGGATTCCGATGTTCCAGTGAGGAGTTATCATGCCCGCCATCAAAAATAAAGACTTCTCTTTAATTACAAAAAACAACAACAAAACAATTACACAATTTTTTGTAAATAATTTTTCCTCTCTTTTAAATCTTCAAATACCATTGAAAATTTAAAATCGAGAATGGGGGGGGGGGGTCCCTTAAAAAATTTTCTTTAAAAATTATAGGTTCGAATTCAATATCAACTTGAAACTAAGAAGGGGGAGGGGTTTTTATAAATAATTAAATATATATCAAAATTATTATTTTATCTCAAAAGGGACCCAAAATGACTCACCCACTATACGATGACTACCACCTCAGCATATTGCGTTCACATTCCGGTACATAAAACTTCACAAATGATTTCAAATATATTCTCCGTTCCAGATTCTTCCTTTATAAACTTGAAAAGTTCTGACAGAACTTTTTTAAATGGAATGTATAATAACCGAAGGGTTTTAACATTACATCCACAATGTCCACTTTCCCATGTAGAAGTCTTACATAGCCAACGACTGTGACCCCACTCCATCGTGTAATAAAATTAGTTTTGCTACAACAACAATATTGAAAAAAGTTATTAAAGGTAATAATACAACAACAACAATATTCATATATTGCATTTCCACGAATCAATGAAACTGGCACTAAAAAAAGTACCACCATACAACAGCATTCCCATCCCCAGTTCAATCTCTCTTTTATTCCATTTGTTTGAGTACGACGCACACCAATGACCAATCATTATTTTTATTTGCGTTTTGTTGTTTCCTTCTCTCCCTATTGTTATTCGTCGTTGGCTTTGGACTTTTGTTGCTGCGCTATCTTTAAAAACATTTTAACATTTAACTTTTATCGTCGCTGGCTTAACATTCGACGTTGCCTGGGTGATTACTGCCTTTGGTCAAATATTAAATTGATAGTCTTCTTAATCATAGCCGAAAACTTTTCTCTAACATTCAGTTTATTCAGAACCGTCAAGCAAGCACAATGGCCACATACGAAGAAGTTAAAGACGTACCCAACCATCCTGAAGTTTATTTGATCGATGTCAGGAACAAAGATGAAGTTGCATCCACTGGTGCTTTGCCGGCAAGCATTAACATTCCATGTAAGTAGGAGAATAACAAAAAGAAAACATGAATAAAATGCAAGGAATAAGAAAATATGTGGAAAAAAACAAAACAAATGCCGGCAATTAAAAGTAAATTAGCAATCGAATATATTCGTGTGAATTTACTTAAATTTTGAGGAATTAATTTTTTAAACAAACGAAGTGAAAAAAAATATATTTCCTTTGAAACTAGTTGTGTTAATTATTTTTTGGGGAACGTGAAAGAATAATTACTAGATTATATAGACGTAGTAGCAGCAGCAACCTGTTGAATGCCATTGTTAACATAAAAACCCGAAAGGTATTATGGAATTTTTTTAATATTTCTTAGAGATTTTTTTTTTTTTTTTTTTTTTTTGCTAAAAATGTGATGAGTCATTCCATCTATTTTTAAGTAACACCACTTGACATCTTAAATCTTCTTTTTTGTAAAAAGAAAATAAACATCTTCGTCAACAAAGCTTTGTTTTTAATAGGAAGACGACATTTTTACTAATTAAAAAGAAAAATGTACATACATAATTATCATTTTATGATCTACTCTTCAACTGTTTTAACTTCAAAAAAAAAACACCTTTAAAAAGTTATTGTTTTATAAAACAAAAAACATTGGTGAAAATTAAATTCCAGATAAAAGAATGTACATTTATCTTCGTAGGTGCGTTTCATAAATGTTTCTTCGGATGTTAGAATTTTCTAGAAGTAACGTTAATTACAAAAAATTATTTCACTTGAAAATACCTAATTGAAAGCTTAATATAATTATAATACTTTTCTGAAATGATCCTTTTTCTGGGATGGATTATTGATACGTTTTTCAAATTAAGAAATTACGTTATTATACATATTGGATTTTAAAGAATTAAATACGGGTTAAGTGAATGTACTTTAGTTATATGTACATTAGGTTTATGATTTTTTTCTTAAAAACGACTTCTAAATATTCTAAGGAATTAACTTTTGGGAATACGAGGTTGTAAAAAAAGTCATAAAATAACACTTGACCTGTAAATAATTTGAAGTTTTCTTTTGTAACAGTTCGGACTGAAGTGGAGACGTTGCCATGGCAATCTAATTTACTGACTAGATTAAATTGTTAGGTCAAATAAAGGGCGATTACAAATTGGAAAGTAGGAGAACTCACCTTCTCTAAACAAGCCACTCTATTGTGTGACAGCATTTATGTCCTTTTTAAATAAAAAAAATAACGTGATATTTTATGAGAAATGAAATAAGCATGTTCGTGAAATGTGTTTTTAAAATCAATAATTCTTTAAATATGTTAGCATTATTGTAACAGGGGAAATACTTTGATAATTGAACTTATAATTGGATTATATCTAAAAAAATGTTGAAAATTAAAAAAAAAATGCGGAAAAAAGTCCGCATTCGATCACACTAAATGTGTGTTATCTATGCCAAAATAGGATCGATAGGTTTTTTTTGTAGAACATTTTTGTCTTTAAAACGGTATTTAAATTAGAACTTTTAGCCGGGTTAACAACATCTATGCAATTTTAGCACATTTTTCTTTTTTTTTGTGCTGTCGTCAAAAGAGTTTTGAACGACAAATTTGGTGTATTGTAACGACTTCAATAATACCGTATAAATACGACAGTGCTAAATTGTCCAATAAGTGTGATTAATTCCGGTACATACTTCTTGGAGTAGTTCATGTATTGTTGTTTATGATATGATTACTGTTAATTTTAAGCTTTTGGAGTAGTCCATATAATGAAGTTTTTGGAATCGCTCATGGCCCTTTGGGATATGTTCTCGTTTATGAAATAAATTGAATTTAGTCCATTAAAGAATTGGATATAGAATGAAAATATGCGGAATATTAGTTGATATATAAATTAAATTTAAAAAAACCAAAATTGAGGACATTAAATTTTGATATTCACCCAATACATCATGGGAAATCGCATTTCAAGTGAAAGTTTTACCAACTTTTGAAATATAGCCAATTTACTTTGTTAGCATCAAGTTACGCCAATCGTTAAACTCGTTTTTCTCAAACAGTGGTTTTGCGAATGGCGGACACGGCATTTAATCGTTCGAAGTACGTTGACATTTTTGGATTCGATAGTCGAAAAGGACAAAGAAAGACCAAAAAAATTATGCCAATTATTTTTTTTTATTATTATAGTCTTATTTATTTATATTTATGCAATAATCAAATTTTAGAGAGCTTATTAAAAATTGTTTCCAAAAACAAACAATTTTTAAAACTACATAACCACTACTATTTTCTAAAATAACATTTACATTACATTGGCTACATTTTAGCTTAAAATAATCTTAGCTTGAGTAAATTTTACACTGAGATAGATGGCACATTTATTAAATATTCATATTTATAGGAAATTAAATCCACATTCGATTACAATAAAAAACATATTTGTTATATCCATTTCAAATGCTTTGCATAAAGGGATGCAATATATATGTATCGGATATGAATGAAAATTAGATGCTTTACAAAAAACAGAATTACAACTCCGTGTGTTGAACTGAATTTTTTGAAAAGTATGCAAACAATTGTAGTTAGATTGAAAAGGTAGAGAAAACAGTTCGATGTTGGAAAGCATTTTGTTACTCGAAAAATACACAGAAAATTACCTGTTACAAAAACGTGGTTTTGACTTACAAATAACTTTTACACCCCTAGATTTTGAACACAATTTGTTGGAAATATGGCTTAAATAGATAAATGTTTTCAACTACACAGTTTTATTGAGCCATATTTCAAACAAATCGTGTTCAACATCTAGTGTTGTAAAAGTTATTTGTAAGACAAAATCATGTTTTTGTAACAGGTCATTTTCAATGTATTATTCGAGTAACAAAATGCTTTCCAACAGCAACCTGTATTCGCCACCTTCTCAATCTAACTACAATTGTTATCTAGTAACAGAAAAATTATATAATTTCCCGTACAATTATTAAAGAAATAAGTTTAATAAAGACTTGAAAAATTTGTTTTTTTAACTAATTTATTACTAATTTATTCTTTTATTTCATACAATGTAATATAAAAAAGCCAGCATGGCCAATAACTTATATAAAAAAATAATAAAAATCCAAACAAAGAATAAACTAAATAAATTAAAAATACATAACAGTAAAAAAAACATTAACATTTATTTGGTTGCTTGGCAACAAAAATCGACCTTCCACAAGTGAAATATTCCTGGTCATTTGTCTTTTATACACCCTCAACAAATGCTTTCAGTTTCAAAACATTTTTTTCTCTCCTTTGCTTGCCTAATTATAATAATTGCCTTCACAATAAACGTTTTACAAATTGTCCAATATATATTGACTTTTATATTGTCAGTTACCGACTAAATAACACTGTACAACACAAACAATAATTACCGGAAAATTCAAACAGATTATGAAAGAGGGGCTAAAAAAAGAAGATACATGCATCGGCGTTTTGAATGTTTACGTCGCAAGGTAACCTAAAAAAAAGGGGCAATATTCACCCTTTTCAAGAATTTTGATAATTATGATTTCTTGAAATCCTTGCATTTTAGGTATATTGAAGGGATTATTTCGGTCCCCTTTTCCAGAAGTGAATGAAAACTCATTCAAAACGGGGTTAAAACCGCTCTGTATATTCTACAGAAATGTTCGCCATAATGTTTTACTATAAGTCTCTAGAATAAAACTAAAAAATCAGCCTAAACGTCAAAAATTAAAAAAAAAAAACAGAAACTCATATTCCTCGATATTCAATAAGTAATATTGCCGAAGACACTATATACCTTAAATTTACGGATTTCATAAAATTTGTCGCACAGTGTAATTAATGACCACTCCTCAATACATACACACAACACTTGTTTTAGTTTCCAAAGGAAATTATCGTTCTTCATATATTGTCATTAATTTGCCTTATAATATCCTTGTTCTATGGGTGATTTATAATCTATACACGTTTAGGGAAAATGCGTCTAATTTTATAGCTACTACATACACATTAATCGATATTTTAAATAAAATATATGCATTAATATTTTAAAAATACCTTTGAATCTAAAAATATAAATAAATAAAATATGATTAATACACATAAATCCAACTTACATTCGCAAAGGAAATTGTCCTTTCCCGGGCAATTGATGTTGTTGCTTAATAATATAAATTATCGCCGCCGCGACTCAAAAAAATATTTTCTTTACACTTTTAGAATTTGTACAGGAGTTTAAAATGTACATTTTTCGGGAAAAATTGTGCTCACCTCTTACTTAACGACACATTAATTGAGCATTGGCATTGACCTTGATCATGATGCCTTGTTTTTGTGGAATAACGACAAATTCCACTGCTTAACAAAACAGAAATTAGCAGAAAAACAGGCATTCTCATCACTGAAATTATTTATCATTCATTGTTCAAGGCATTAAAGTGTGTCACTAATATTTGTTTTGCTACGGAATTTAAATGTTGATAATAAAATTTATAATTTACAAAAAACATGATAGCATTCTTGTTGTATGGAAAAATATTTTATAATAGGCATTGGTTTTTTATCTCCACAATATAAACACCCACGTGTATTTATGCATGCAAACATATTTATAATTATATATTAAATTTGTTATCTTTTCTTTGCAGTGCCTGAATTGGAAGGTGCTTTCAAATTGTCTGATAATGATTTCAAGACAAACTTCAATCGTGACAAGCCCTCGGAAGATGCTGTCATTATATTCAGTTGCCTGAAGGGAGGTAGAGCCCAAAAGGCTGCTGATTTGGCCTTGGCAAATGGTTTCAAGAAGTATGTACACATTATTAAAGAAATTATTTTCTATTTTATGTATTAATTAACTTCGTTTTATTTTTTTTTTTACAACTTTTAGCGCCAAACCCTATCCCGGCTCGTGGACCGAGTGGGCACAAAAGGAAGGTCTATAAACAACTATCATTACCAGGAATTATATTATTAACGTCATTATTTCATTCCTTTTAAATTAATGTCTTAATATAAATACTACTAAAGAAATAAATTATTCTCTAATCATAAATGTATTGAAAAACAATCATTATAATTTTACCTCTTTTAAATCACCCCAACTTTTACCAATTTTTAACTTAACCTTAAGTGGTACATTTAATTTCACACAATTCTCCATGGTTATACTTAAAACTTTGGCTATTTTCTTGGCTTTATCTTCGGGTACTTCAAATATCAATTCATCGTGCAAATGTAATACTAAACGTACTGAATCCGGTTCAATACCTAATTTGGTGCGATATTTTGTAATATTTTTCTCCATTCGTAAAATTGCACTTTTGGCAATGTCTGCTGCAGAGCCTTGTATCGTGGAATTAACTGCTTGTCTTTCAGCTTGATCTAGAGAGAGCGTAAAGAGCAGGGAAAATAAAATTAGTGGAAAATATTTCAATACAAAATCGAAAAGTGTATACACAATATTAAATTGGAAAATTCCAAAAATAACAAATATTTTAGGGGTGTTTGCAGAGATTAAATTCAGAATTGTGATCAACACAAATAATTCAATCGATTATTGTTCAGAAAACGTGTATCAAAATGACTCAACATATATTTCCTTATCGACATGTTTCTTATGTATGGGTTATGTTCAATTGTAACGTAACTATAATTATCTTTGTACGATTCCATAAACCAAAATCAATGGGTTTAAAAAATATGTGGAATTTCTTTCTATAGATAACTTTCCGACATATTGAAAAAAGCGGTGTGCAATATTAAATAATAGTTTTCTTTTTGTTTACCATTCATATCTCTAATTTCGCTTTCAAAATACACTAATATCGAAAAGTATGCTTCAAAGCCTAAAGTAAAGTTAGGTTTATGTTCCGTTGCGACCAGTTACATTTGTAATATCCTCCCCATGGAGATAATATAATATTAACTAACATGATAGTGACCTCATAATATGGCTTTCCGAAAAAACTCCAGTTTATATTATATGTAACTGTGGTTATTGGGTAACTGTGAATAACAAATAAACAGTCGCGGACAATCAGCGGGCTCAAGGGGAGAGTCTCCGAGGAAATGACCGAGTGCCTATGATCCCTGAGCCGACGAGGCAAGAATGGCGCCCCTTTATAACCATCTCAAAGGTCTGGCACACTATCTTCTTAAAGTGTCCCCCCTAACGATCTCGTGCCTATCAGCGTTCTACGGTTTGCAGTCAGGTTCCCGACTGTATTGGCACCCTCAGTCTCGAACTCTACAAGGTCAGATATCAATGAACCCCCTCAGGTGTTGACGACCCACGCCATCACCCTGGGCCTCTCTTTAGCCACTTGTCCTACTGGAGCCTGGAGAGGCAGCCGGATCTCCTCCTCAATCTTCTAGAGGAAACCGGCTTCTTCAGCCTTAGTCAGGAGACCATCCCGAATCAGCTCTGGGATGACACGCCCTTGTCGGACGAGGATGACGTCATGGAAACTGCGGTGATTAGCACTACGGTGATAAGCGCAGCAGCAACCATAGCGTCTCCTCCGCAAAATCCACTTTGAAATTGTTTTAACAAAAAAAAAAAAAAAAAAAACTGAAAGATTGTTGATTTTAAAAACTTTCACGGAAAGTCACAAAACTTATGCACAAAATTATTCATTGGCCATAGAAATGGATTAACATTTGCCATTTTATTTACAATTTAGAGTAGGTATCTGATTTGTATGGGACGCTGAATCCTTTTATGATTTTCACAATGAACGACATTTCGAAGTAAATTGGATGAAATTTGGCACATCTCATTTATTTGGTCCATTTGGGAAAAATCGATTCGATTCCTTCGAGGAACATTGACATGCAATTGTAAGGATACATATGTACAATATACCCTAAGTGATGAAGGGTATCATATAGTCGGTCCAGTCTGACTTTACTACTTCAAAGAATTACTGGTTTAAAGAATTACTTGATCATTAAGGTTTTATCTAATCTTTTACATACGATTAGATAAAACCCTAATGATCAAGTAATCAAACATCAAAATATAACAATTTGGATACGAGGTTGCAAAAAAGACATGACCCTAAAGGGCACTCCTAATATATAAAATAGATCGGGACTTTTATATCGAGACAATATCATGATAAATTACTGCATAGTAGGAGCAAACGAAGTATCAAACTACAGACACTTAGGTTGGAAAATTGAGCTAGAACCTTGAACATACCAAAAATGGAGCGAAACGTTAGTATGGGGCAATGTAGAAACATGTATTTATATTGAAAATGTTCTATGAAAATATTGTTTACACACTAAGATCCCGGTATCACAAATTCCAGCATTTTATAATACAAAAATCAAACCAACCAAAGAAAATTTAAAATAGCAAATTAGAGCCAACTTGGTTGAAAAAATGTCTAAAATCCTATAAATAACGAAAATAAAGGGGATATAAATATATGAGGACAAATATGTGGAACCAAAACATAGATAGGTTAGGTTAGAGATGTACGGCTGCTGGTTGCAACCGTTCACTAAGAGACATTTGTCCATTGTGGTCATCCTTGGTACCTGAGAGAAAATATAGTGAAAGTTGCAGGATATTGAAAGGTGGTCACTCAGCGATGGACACCTACACCTAATTGTTTCCAGCTCTTCCTCATCTTCACATAAACTGCAGTAATCCACTCCCTTGATATCCCATTTTGAAGTTAGAGATCTAATCCTGCAGTGACCTGTTGTGATCCCCACAATGATTTTAACCTCTCTCCTATTATGAGACAACAGCGAAGAAGTTCTACGGCTAGAGAATTCGAGTCAGATATTATTCGAGATCCTAAGTTATTAAGTTTATATAAGTTATAGATTTCTAGTTCCCTAAGGAGCCACCAGTCCAGGATTCCCTACTAGGAAACTCTACTCTGATGTCATTAAAGTCTCTATGAGAGGGAGTATAGTCACTGATGTGAGTACTGCTATCGAAGAAGTCACAACCTGGCGTCGTGTAAAGGATGCTAGCTTGGTCAAAATTCAGCGACTTCCGTTTCCCGGAGCCTCAGAGCACATCAAGCAGCCTGGAATGTAGATTTTAGGTTTTAAATAGCATTTAAGGCTGCTTCTTAGCGCTCCAGTTATCTAGATCGAAGGCGATCGCTGTGTTTCACTCTTGTTTCTGAATTCCACATACGAGTAGCGACTCCACATATAGTTTATTATCCAACAATGGTTAAATATTTGAGATGATATAGTTTATAAAAATCTACTGAGGGCTAAAAGACGACGTATCTTACACTCCAGTTGTCAATGTATGCGTCACTACAGTCTAGCACAAACGAAATGGGGATGTACTGGACAGAGTAATGTAAATAGAACGCAACCCCTACGGTAACGGCACTTCCGCACAAAACTGCTCGTTGGTTGGAATTCGACCAAGTCCCTGCTATTCGTAAAAACACTGCTTCGAGAAAAATGCGTTTAAAGTTTGAGAATCACTCTTGCCGTCACTTTACGCTGACACAGTTCTTAAAATTTTCAATTGAAATTTTGTAGGAACATTATTGAATTAGTGTAGATTTGAATTAAATAAAAAAAACTAAATTAATTTTTTGACTCTGAGAATGGGGGGATCCCCTTAAAAATTAAATAAACCCGTCACGAAGAAAAAAAGTATAGTATTACTTACTTTTCATAGATGCTTCTCCACTATTGATGTGCTCCAAATATCTACGTCTACCAGTTATTGTTTCAATATAACCATTATTTCTCGCAAATTTCACAACCTTATCGATATAAGTCCTATAATAAAAACATTTTTATAAATTACAATTATAATTCATAATAAAAAACACATGTACCACACTTACCTTATTCCCGGATAGGCTGCATGAAATTGTTCCGAAACAAAGTTGGCTTCCTGTTCGGTACATTTAAGACCCTCCGCCAAAGCACGCATACCCATACCATAAACAATGCCATAACAAATTTGTTTTGTACCATTACGTATCTGCTCGCTAACATTTTGTTCCGGAATTTTATTCCAACGTGCAGCTATCGCTACAAATACATCTCTATCGGATTTCATAACTTGCATTAAGGCAGCATCTTGTGATAAATGTGCTAATATACGCATTTCTAATTGACAAAAATCCGATGAGATAAGGCATCGTTTTGAATCGCGCGGATAGAAGGCGCTGCGACAAGAAATGGTGAATTTATCCGACCCTATTTCCACATCAAAATCTTTGGCAACATTTTGTAAATTTGGTTCTGTCATCGATATACGTCCCGTTGAGGTATATGTTATACTCTGGCCGTGGATTCTTTTTGAAAGGAATATAAAATACAAAAAATTTAATTACAGAACATAAGAAGATAATGGTAGTTCCAGCAATTTAACATTTAATAATAAGATTGAGATTTATAGAATTAAAAGGAAACCTGCAAATGAGTCAATATTACAAAGGAGGGAGTGTACATCAGATTTTGAAACAATAAGATAAATAAACTTATTCAAATGTAAGGATAAAAAAATAAAAATGAGCAATTTACCTTTCATCTTGAACACATTTCAATAATGGCTGTATGTTTTTGGTTAATGTAACACTTATTTTACGATATGTGATTATCATTTGTGAAATAGGTGTATCGATTTTCTCCAATATTTGTTTCGATGTACTAACACGGCCATTAGTTTTGCGATGTAAACCCAGGACCTAAAATTAAAAGAAAAGATTAATAAATGACATTCAAAATAATTATTTGTTTAAAGTCCTCACCCTTGCCACTGCGGACGAGGATCCCAAATTAAATTTCGATCCATGTAATTCATAGATTTTAGCTTCCAGTCTCTTCATGGCATCGACCATTTGTTGAAATAATTTATGTAATGCCTCCGAACTTGTTGGAAAGCCAACATCTTCCATATTGCAAAATGAGATTTGCAAAGGCATTTCAAGTTCTAGAGAAATATATTCATTAATTTAATATAAAAAATCAAATCAATGTTTATATACCTTTAAAGAATTTATGCAACTGCCCGGTACCAATACGTTCCAAATTCTCAATTTGTCCTTTGATAATATGTATTGTTACACAACTCTCAATGGAACACCTGAATATTTGAAAAATATATATAAATTAATATTATTGTTTAACGACTATTATTATATCATGAACAACATTACCTAACCTTAGCTAATATAGCACTATCCGAATCCAAGCCATAGCTGTTATAACCTCTACCACTGCCACATAAATTTACCAATGCTGAACATTCCGGTGCAAATTGTTGGGCCTGAAAGAAGCAACAATTTAATAAGAAATTGTAACTGATTTTAAATTCTGCTCAGTCGAAACGTTATAACACTCTACCATGAGGACGAGAGACCCTAAGATATTATACCATAACAGAAAGAATTGGTATGTCAAGGAAAATTCTGAATTATTACATAAACTAAATTCAGCAACATATGTGACAAATTGGAGAAACCTCACTTAAAATGATTTATTAAATAGTTTTCATCTGAACATCTTAACATCCGTACCGTTTGGTCTACAATTAAAAATCTAAATTGTTCCAAAATGCATACAAATCTCCCCACATTCAAAAACCAAACAAATGGTGTGCAAAGTTTTGACGCCTGCATATTAAGAATCCCATCTTCAGAGCAGGAGTGAAGGAACAATTTTCAAGAAATGAAAATCTCATTTTTCGGCATTTTTTCTATATTCATTCAGCGCTGTGGCAACTCCATTAGTATAAAACATATTGTTACGTTCTTGGGTTTTACTAAATCCCGTGTAGACGTTGTTTTATTTCCCGATACAATTCGTACCAAATAAAACGCAGGTTCTTTCGGATTACGATTATTACAATGATTTTATTCACACGACTTTACTTTGCACTTTACTTTACACGACGGTTTCAATTCGCGATCTGATTCACAACTGACTCACTGCTTTTCCATTCCCTCTATTTATATGAGCCCTGCCTGTCGCTACAGAAGTTTCTAGACGATCTGGTAACACCTAGATCACGAACAATCTACCAATGCAACAAACACATTGAGTAACAATAACAACAACAAACTTACTGAGTGAACAATAACAACAACAAACTTGAGTAAACAAACTTACAATAACAAGAACACACATACAGGCGAGGGAATAACAAAGAAAGAGGAATAACAACAACACATATACAGGCGAGGGAATAACAAAGAAAGAGGAATAACAACAACACATATACAGGCGAGGGAATAACAAAGAAAGAGGAATGACGTTTAACAAGAATTGTACGACAATAACAAAATAGAAAATGAAAGAGGAAATGGAAGGATGTAGAAAAATCTATACAGTGGTTGTTGTTGTGAAGTTATTCAAATAAACTGCGTAGTAGAAATTTACGTTACAATTCAAATTCTTAAATTAACGGAATTCATCTAAATTAACTTAAATCTAAAGTTATATTCGTAACATTGCCCCCCGCTTAAGCCTGTTCGTCCCGAATAGGCACAGTTCCCGTTCCGTAGGGGGTCAGCCGCTCCAAATGTACAACTTTCATCTTCGACCTGGGACTGTCGCTCCTCTGGATGCGATAAACGACGTCATTTATTTTCGTGACAATCTTGTAGGGTCCTTCCCTGTGCGTTTGCAATTTGGGGCATAGTCCTTTCTTTCGTTGTGGGTTGAACAATAGTACCAGTTGCCCTTCTTGAAACCCATCGGTATTTGCCGCTCGATCGTACCTTGCCTTCATGCGGTTGCTAACCATTTTTATTCGATGTCGGACTGCATCGTGGACTTTACTAAAAGAGTTTTGGCTGTCTTCATCTTGGTTCACATTGTCGTTTGGGGTAGCACCGAATATCAAATCGCCAGGTAGCTTTAATTCATTTCCGAACAGAACTTTGGCTGGGGTCCGTGATGTGGAATCATGAATGGCCGATCTATAAGCCAGTAAAAACTTTGGAATATGCTCATCCCAGTCTCGTTGGCCGCTGTCCACCACTTTCCGTAGATGTTCTTCAAGGGTGCGATTGAATCTTTCCACCATGCCATCTGATTGTGGATGTAAGGGCGTCGTTCTGGTTTTCTTGATTCCGTAGGAGTCACACATTTCCTTGAAGATCGCTGATTCAAAATTCCTACCTTGATCGGAATGAACCTCAGATGGAACACCATAGCGACAAATCCAATTTTTGCTGAACACATCCACAATTGTCCTGGCTTCTTGATTTGGGATAGCATAAACCTCTGGCCATTTGCTGAAGTAATCCATGACCACTAAGACATACCGGTTCCCAGAGTCGCTTGTGGGGAACGGTCCAGCTACATCCATTGCGATTCTTTCAAAAGGGGCTCCTGAATTATACTGCTGCATGTAGCCTCGACTCTTCCGTGTTGGACCTTTAGCTTTTATGCACCTTTCACAATTGGCGATCCAGTCGGCAATGGATTTTTGACAGCCGACCCAGTAGAATCTCTGCTTTACCTTTTCAGCGGTCTTTGCTATGCCGAGATGTCCTCCACTTGGCCCATCGTGAAACTCCGACAAGACATCTCTTATTTTGGAGTCTGGGACGACGATCAAGTTCCGGTGAGATTTACCGTCCTCACTTTCCCATTTGCGATATAGGCAGCCATCTTTTATAAGTAGACTGTCCCACTGGGCCCAATAGGATTTTAAAAGAGGGCTTTCGGAGGTGATTTCTTTACGACTAGGTCGCTTGCCCGTTTCAATGGCCGAAATTACTTTGCCCAGAATGGGATCTCTTCGTTGTTCCGTCGACCAATCTTCACCCGACTCAAACTGCAATAGTCGGACATCAACGATATTCTCCTTATTCTCAGCCTTTGAGCAATGCCTGCATTCTACCTTGCATGGCCGACGAGACAGGGCATCAGCATTACCGTGTTTTCCGCCTTTTCTGTGCTCGATTCTGAAATCATAACTCTGGAGCCTCTCGATCCAACGGGCTAGTTGACCTTCCGGATTCTTAAACCGCAGCAACCATTGGAGAGCAGCGTGGTCGGTCCTCAGCAGGAAATGCTGGCCATATAGGTATTTGTGGAAGTGTTTAACGCTCTCAAGGGCGGCAAGCAGCTCTCTCCTCGTCACACAGTAATTCCTCTCAGGCTTCGACAATGTCCGGCTGTAGTACCCGATGACTTTTTCCTGGCCGTCGATTTCCTGGGAAAGGACGCCACCGATGCCGCACGCACTTGCGTCTGTGTCCAGAGCAAACTTTCCGCCAGGTATAGGGTATGCCAAAATGGGGGCTCTACATAGCATGTCTTTGAGTTTACTGAACGCCTCTTCTTGGTCGTTGCCCCACTGGAACCTCTGGCCTTTTTGCGTTAAGCGGTGCAGACAGGCGGCGATGTTGGCAAAATTTGGGACAAATCGACGGTAGTAGGTGCAGAGACCCAGAAAGCTTCGCAGCTCATGGAGATTTCGGGGCTGCGGCCAATCTCTGACGGCTTGAATTTTCTCCTTATCCGTCGATATGCCCTCCGGCGTCACGCGATGCCCCAGGAACTTCACCTCTCGTTGGAAGAGACTGCACTTCTTCGGGTTCAGCTTGAGGCCTGAAGACGAAAGCTGCTGAAGAACATCCTTTAAATTCTTGATGTGTTCGTCGAAGTTGCGTCCCATGACTATGATGTCATCCAGGTATATGAGGCATGACTTCCACTGCAGCCCTTTTAACACACGCTCCATCAGCCTTTCAAATGTAGCCGGGGCGTTGCAGAGTCCGAATGGCATGACATTGAACTGCCAGAGACCCCCATTAACGCCAAATGCTGTTTTCTCCTTATCTTTCTCGGCGATCTCTACTTGCCAGTACCCACTCTGCAGGTCGAGGGTGGAGAACCATGACGTCCCGGCTAATGTGTCCAATGTGTCGTCGATTCTTGGGAGCGGATAGCTGTCTTTCTTGGTGACATCATTTAACTTTCGATAGTCCACACAAAATCGAGTGCCTCCGTCTTTCTTCTTGACCAAGACCACTGGGGAGCACCATGGACTTGACGATGGTTCTATTACACCACTCTTTTCCATCTCACTTATCAGCTTCTGGACCTCGTCTCTTTTTGCCAGGGGAACACTTCTTGGAGGCTGTTTAATGGGTCTCGCGTCTGCTGTATTGATTTCATGCTTCACCACTGATGTTCTTCCTTGGTGCTCTTTTGTCAACGCAAAGGTAGAGGCATACTTCCATAATAGCTGCTTAGCCTTGTTCCTCTCGGAAGGTGATAATTGGTGTGTCCACTCTTTTATGTAGCCGTCGAGGTGCTTCTTCTCCATGGCTGCTGGCTTTTCGGTGCTAGTTTCCAAATTAATTACGGCTTCAGCTGGTGTACATTGTCCAACATCGGAAAATTGGCAAATTTGCTCTTGCTTGTTTGACAGGTTCAAAACTCTAACAGGAATCAGCCCGTCCTCGTTGCTTTTCACCAAGGCATTCGCTATTAGGATGTCACTATTGATGTTTTCTGCTGGTTCCACCACCCACAACTTCTCGGCTCCACAATCTCCATTCATTGGTACCCATATTATTGCTTCGGCACAGGGCGGTATTATCTCTGGATGGTCCGTAGTCAGACGTCTAATGGGTGTACTTTCATCGTAGCCCACGTTTAACGGAATTTCGACGTTAGACCAGGTCATCACACGCTCTTTCATATCCAGATTGATACCAAAGGCAATCATAAAATCTGCGCCTATTATCACTTCGTCTATGATATCAGCAACTATAAACTCGTAATTCTCCGATTTATTGGCAATAGTTACTCTCAGGGTAATCTTGCCGTGTACTGCCGCGGGCTCCCCCGTTGCTGTGCGCAGTCTGACTCCATTAATTTGCGTTACTTTTCCCTTTACCAGATCTGATCTTATGATGGACTTTGATGCGCCAGTATCTAATGTCAGAACTCGCTTATCACCATTAATGTACCCAGTTGTTGTTAGGTTGTGACTTTTCTGTTGTACTATTGCTATGGAGATTGTGGGGCCATCGTCGATGGGAGCCAGTTCATGCCCCGCTGGACTGGCTCGATTTAGTTTTACGGTGACTCATTGGTGGACTGTTGAGCCATTCGTCTACCATCTTTCGTTGGAGGTGGTGACGATGACCTGGATCGTTTGCGCTTAGCTCTGCATTCGCGCGCAATATGACCTGCTTTATCGCAGTTGTAGCATCTAACCCTGGGCTTAGTCATCCCTACTAACTTTGTTTCTTCTATTACCTGCTTCATGGCGTCCTTGATCGAGTTAACGAGAGATTTGGGTTCGCAACCTTCGGTCTCCAGTTGGCGAATCTTGTGGGTCTGGGGCTTAACAATTATTCTTGCCGTCTCTTGGGCAAGGGCAAACGACACGGTTTCGGCAAATGACGCTTTTGGTGACGCATATGTTGCACATTTAATCTCAGGGTCACGTATGCCATTCACAAAGGTTTCGATTTTAATACGGTCCACCAATGGGTGATTCTCTCCTGGATACGCCATTAGCACCAAACGTTCCACCTCAGCTGCAAAGTCTTGCAACGTCTCGTTTGCCCTCTGCACTCTTCCCCTTAATTCCATAAGGTAGATGTTTTGTTTATGTTCGCCACCGTACTTACGTTCCAGTGCAGCAATAACATCTTCATAGTTGTTCCTAGAAGCGACAGGAATGCTCTGTATAACATCAGCAGCACTGCCCTTCAATGCCAGAAGTAGTGCAACCGCTTTGTCGCTGTCGTTCCACGAATTTCTAGAAGCCACTGTCTCGAACTGTAACTTGAAAACATTGAATGACGTAGAGCCGTCGAATACAGGAGGTTTGATTTTTAGTGTGGTATCAGGAACTCGCACCGGACCACCCTTAATTTCCAGTTCCGACATTTTCTTCTCCAGATTCGTAACCCTGTGGTCGTTGACCAGAAATTTCTCATCCACAGACAGAATCTTCTCGTCAACTGACTTCACTTTCTTATCCAACTCTTTAATTTGGACCTCCACGGTTTCCACTCTCCTTCCAATAACTTCTGTAATGTTCTCGAGTTTCTCGTTCATATTTCTGGAATTCTCCTCGAACATTCGTCTCGTGTTTTCTACTAACTTTCTGGAATTTTCCTCCAACATTTTAGCCAGCATTTCTCTGAAATCGTCACCCCTGGCAGCTACTGACGAGACTTCCCCACCGTTGGATTCGCCCATTTCCGATAAATCCACTTCATCCTTACTGTCAAACTCATATGTATCGATGTTCATACCACGGCGCTCGAACTCATCCAACAGACGTTTTTGTAGTTCAGCCTTGTTGCCAGTAGAGGACAATTCCAATTTATTCAGCTCCTTCTTCAAGTCTTCCACTCGTAGATCCTTAAACTTCATCGTAGTATTATCGTAATCTCACTTCCGACACCAATTGTTACGTTCTTGGGTTTTACTAAATCCCGTGTAGACGTTGTTTTATTTCCCGATACAATTCGTACCAAATAAAACGCAGGTTCTTTCGGATTACGATTATTACAATGATTTTATTCACACAACTTTACTTTGCACTTTACTTTACACGACGGTTTCAATTCGCGATCTGATTCACAACTGACTCACTGCCTTTCCATTCCCTCTATTTATATGAGCCCTGCCTGTCGCTACAGAAGTTTCTAGACGATCTGGTAACACCTAGATCACGAACAATCTACCAATGCAACAAACACATTGAGTAACAATAACAACAACAAACTTACTGAGTGAACAATAACAACAACAAACTTGAGTAAACAAACTTACAATAACAAGAACACACATACAGGCGAGGGAATAACAAAGAAAGAGGAATAACAACAACACATATACAGGCGAGGGAATAACAAAGAAAGAGGAATAACAACAACACATATACAGGCGAGGGAATAACAAAGAAAGAGGAATGACGTTTAACAAGAATTGTACGACAATAACAAAATAGAAAATGAAAGAGGAAATGGAAGGATGTAGAAAAATCTATACAGTGGTTGTTGTTGTGAAGTTATTCAAATAAACTGCGTAGTAGAAATTTACGTTACAATTCAAATTCTTAAATTAACGGAATTCATCTAAATTAACTTAAATCTAAAATTATATTCGTAACAATATTTAGAACTGAACTATACAATGCTGGATATCTCTTTGTCTAGGTCATGCAGATGCTTTCTTACACGTCTGTGGGGAGTTATATTAACCATATGATAGTTAGGATGATTATATCTGAAGCACCCAAGCAGGTACTGTAACGAAAGCATATTGCTAAATTGACGTAAGGGTAGGATCTTCGCCACCTCATGAGATTGGTCCACTCTGTTGGAGTTCTGACAAATCTGAATAATTCTTCATTGCGTAGATGCTCCAACCACTTATTCCGCTTATGTTCCGCGACGAATCTGCGGCCTCCAATGTGAGTTCCTATCATCCTTCCAGGGTTCCAGAGCAACATAACCGTTTCCAATAGTTTACTCACAACGGTTGCGATGTTGCAACTCTTCAGATGTTCCAACCCTTTATTCCGGTTATGCTCCGAGATTAATCTATTGACCTTCAATGTGAATTCCCTTATTCTGGGATCTTCTGAGTTTCTTTTTTCTTTCCTTCTGCTACCTGTTCATCAGAAGGAATGAATGTTTATGTGAAACAATGGTTGGTGAACGCTTTGAATCCTTGCAGGTTAGCTTTCTTATGGTTAACGAAAGTGCGGCGTTCAGAGGTGATGGAATTGGCGGTCTGCTGATGGATCCGATTATGGGGAGGTAGTAAAACAATGGTTATGTAAAACAATGGTTATGTCTGACGAACTGACACTCTCCCCTTATTCTGGTAGGGGCATCCTCATTTACCGTGCAGAACATGGAGCTATCAATTTGCTCTGCCAGCACTGTTCCCTTCTGGTCATTACAAAGGACGGAATGCCACAACATATGGTGGGCATTAAAATTCCCTAGCACCAGACGGTTATTGCCCTCCAAATGAAAACTAATGTTAGGCAAATAACGCGGTTCGCAGCTATTAATCGGCGGTATGTTCACATTAAGCATCTCTACATCATCAATACCACATTTAACTGCTACCTCCATACATTCCATGTATGGTCACTAGACTCAAGCTCAAGCAAGATAGGCCTGTATTGAACAGAGTGGTACATAAGGAATGGTAGGCCCCCACCTCCACTTCTGGTGTAATTTTTATTGAGCTTGATTTCCTGCACCGCCGCCAGCAAAATATTCTTCCGATTCATGAAGTCCACTATCTCGTCTATTTTTCCTCGAAGACCGTTGCAATTAAATTGCAGAAACGATGCACTATCAGTGGTGGGAACGTGCGGTATTAAATGCTACATATTTGGTCGCTGTTTAGTAGACTACGGTATAGTTCCGTACTCCGACGAAGAAGATGAGTCATAGACGAAGACTCACAGGGGTTTGCGTTGTCGCAGCCCGAGGCAACGTAATCCCTTTCGCTGTAGTCTCGCAACCGGGCCAACGCGGAACAATTCCTGAAGTGCACCCACTCCCTGCACCCCTTATGAATTATTACTTACCAAATTCTGCCCTGACGTATTTTATTATGATTCATATTTGAGAGCAGAGAGAGCAGACCGTGGCAATTCTAGACCCACCAAATTAAACTAATTTAATATAGACATGCTTCCAGAAGTCAGACGGATAGTCATAAATAAAATCTACTAGAACCTAAATGATTATTAAAAAAAGATCTGCTCCTGCTTCCATGGTAAAGGTTTTATGTCCTTAATTATATTTGAATAATACACTTACCAAACTATGTAAATTATGCATTTTATCTGGTTGCAATAACCAATTCGCCACCTTGGGATCTTCCAATCCGGTGGCAATCTCACCCAAATCTTTTATAAGTTTACGTACAATTTTAAATTGTTCTTTGGCATCGTAAACTATCAGACAATGCTCTTGGGAACGTAGTAGCATACGTAGATATTTACATTTTACTTCGGGAGTTAGACCTTTACATGTGCCCTCCGTTTGCATATTCATGTAGTATACCAAATTTTCCGATATACAAAATCCAATACCAGCTAGATAATTTGTATCATCAATTTGAAAATCAATATTCTGTATACGAGCTTCATTATCTCTATCGGCGGCTGCAGCTTGATTAAGTAATAGATTTGCTCCTATTATCGGTTTACGTTTAGCCACTTGCTGTTGTATACCCAAACAAAATCCCAAACGTTTCGCATTCATAAATTCCTTAAAAGCTCCCTTGAAAAGTTGTTGATCACCACATATATCTATGATATCAATGGATTTAAATGAAGAACAATCTGGTTCAACTTTGGAGCAGCTTAAAATGTGTGATGCATTCAAATGCATGGGATTTTTCATAAGAGAATTTTCCATAGAGAAATCAGATAATTCGATATTACTTGAAGAAGAGCTGGGTTCACCATTTGCCGCCACCGGAGGAGATTCGGTTTTATTTTCTGTTGTTATCCTCGTGGGTTCTGCTTTCTTTTTGTCAACTTCTCGTGCGGGAGGTTCGGGTGTAATTCTACGCCCCTTTGTCATGGGACTCTGACCGCGTTGTGTTGCCCTCAATGATCTTAGGAATCTTGAGGCATGTGGTGAATGTGTTTTATTTGTATTGACATCTTCACAAAGTTGCTGTGAACTGGGTATTTCATCCTCTTGCGATTGATTTAAAATATTTTTTTCTTCGCCGTGATTATTTTCCACCTTTTTAATGGCTTCATTAACTCCCGTGTTGAATACAAATGATTCTTCATCATCGTTGTCATCGTTAAATAATTCACCAGGACTTTTAACTAATGGTTTGATAGGTTTTTTAGCTGTAGGTTGTGGTGGTGTAGCAATTTTCGAGGACGTTGTTTGATAATCAATTCTTGTGGAACTAATGAGTTTATTACGGGGACTTCTTCGAAGTACTTTATTCGAATTTCCTGAATTGTTATTTTGTGGACGTTCATGTGAAGATCGGGGGGTATTTGTATTGGGAGTTTTAAAAACATCTCCATTGGTTGTTATTATGTTGGGTGTGGATTCCTTTTTGTTGTCAATTCCGTTTGAGATGGATTTTTGGGGAATATTACCTCTTTTTTCGACATTATTTTCTGAGATTGGATTTTGGGAAACTTGGTCTTTCTTTTCCGCCTTATTTTCGGACATTTTGTTCGAGATTCCCACACCATTTTCCATGGGGTTTTCTATAACTTTTGACGCTTTATTTGTCTCCTGTTGCTTTGTAGAAACATTTTCTTTAGCGGGATTTTGTTTACCCTGGTCTTCTTCCTCTCGTTTCTTTGCCCATTCCTGTTTCTTCATTTCCGATAATTGTTTTGCCCTTAATAATCGTTGAGCTTTTTTGCTGGTACTTGGTTTTTCACCATCATCTAAGGCAATTGCTTTATTGTTCTCATCACTCTTTCTTAATTTCGGTGGAGTAACATCGTTGTTATCCAGTGGTAGTGGTTCGGATGATTTTCGTTTCTCCTTGGGTTTTAGGGGTTCCACAGTGGTTTTTGGTGTAGATAAATTTGCGGAGAAGATTTGATTTGGCGTCTGGATCACTTTCGCATCTTTTGATTTAAAATCATTAGGTTTGGCTTCATTGCTCTTTCTTAATTTTGGAGAATCCATATTTTTATTATTTTCAGTTAGTTGTTCAGATGAGCTGCGGTTTTTAGGTTCAATATTCGATTTTGTTATACCAGAAGAGATTTTATCCGCAGATTTTAAATTGTTCGCCGCTTCATTCCATTTCTTACCACCAGAATAGGGACCATTTGATTTTGATATTAAATCCTTGGCTTCGAAATTTTCTGCAGTGACCCTTTCAAATGTGTTTTTATCTTCCGACAAAGGTTTTATAGATTCCATTTCATGTCCATGCTTAGAGTTGGTATTTGATTTTTCTTTTATTTGAAGCGTATTATTTTCATTGTTCCTAGAACTTCGAGTATCAGAATTTCTTGCACCATTTTCTTGGTGTGAAGATTTCGAGCGTTCTCTTTCTTTACTTAATTTTTCCGGATATGATTTAATTTCCGAACGTTTAGATGGTTGGTCGTTGGTAGCCTCCTCGGATTTTCTCTGAACTTTATTACCATTTTCTTTATTGCAATTTTCATTATTTTTATTTCCGACTTCCACATTCTTCATATCTATTTTTTTATTTTCCATTCCATTGAATTTATTCTCCTCGCAAGACATATGCAATTCTTCCCCATTTTGGGTTTCCCCATTCTCATCCAATTTCTCATTTTGTTGCGACCAATTTATGTTCCCCACACCAATTTCATATTGGACAAATCTACGTGCTTCTTGCACCAGCATTTTAGATGCTTCGGCCACTGTTATACCAGCTTTACCGGTTATATAAAAATTACGTGCCTCATTCCGTTGAGCAGCCTCTATGGCATTTTCATTATCATGTTGTTTGGCGGAATCAAAACTTAAAGCATTATATAAAATCTTTTCCACACTCAAAACATCAGCATTAGCCAAATCCACCAAGGAGGTAATACCCGCATCAAATAATGCTCGAGCTCTTTTATGATTTAAATCGGGAATACGCATTAAATCAATAAGATCGCGATGGACACCGAAATACAAACGTTCCTTAAATTGTGATACAATTAAACTCAAGGTGTCCCATTGTAGAGAGTTACAAAACGACGTAACAATTCCAGCAAATGTGGAAGCCATTTGCTGTAGACTTTGTAACATGCCTCGAGAACATTTATATTTCGAGGCCACAGTATTTATGGGGACTTCGTTTACCAATTCTTGCAAGGCCAAGGCTGTGTAAAATCTAGGAAGAAAATAATTCGAATATATATTGCAGACAAAATAAAAAATCATAATCTTTCTTACCTTTTATGTATCTGTATCAGTTTATAATCCAATTTTGATTGACCTCTCATGGCTCTGACCAAAAACGACTCCTTAATACCCACCAATTCGCCAACCTTTTTCATGGCGGGTGTAAGTTTTTCAAATAAATCCAAAAAGAATAGCCAATCTAAATCCTGCAATTGATAGCACACCGAATATGGTGTTACCAAATAGACGGCATGCAGTTCCGATTCCAATACAAAACAACGTCGAGATTTTTGTAGCTCAGCAAATAATATTAAACCATCAGTGGGTGGCATAGAGGAAGCTAAAATTGGAGAACTCTTTAATTTCTAAAATAATCAAATTGTTAAGCTTCAAATACCCAAACAAGCCATTCCTAATCTAGTGGCCACATAACACTGTTCATTGGTTTCTTCGTTGTTTTGCAAACGCACAAATTCATATTCAATTAGAAAATCCAAAGCTTCGCTTATGCATTCATCTTGTAAATCTCTATCGGTTCCTTCCTTTTGGTCATTCGCCAATTGTTTTTGAGCACTGAGGAGAGTGCATTTGACAAAGTTATCTAAGTCCTCTTTTGTTGTAGCCACACCAGAAGATATAACCTCTAATAGGGCTCGTTTTAAATGGGTCTGAAATTTGAGGATGTTTTAATAAACATTTCTTCTAAGTAACAAAATAATAAAATTTGTTTAAAATTTAATGATGACGATGTTCCAGAATCTGCCAAACTATACAATTTGTATTTAAACAGAAAATGGGTGTATGAACGGTTGTCTTTCGCTTTCGGGGGTTGTGGGTTGTCGGCTTCTTGTACAGACTGTATGTGCAACTGTTGCAGACCTTCTGCGATTCATGATCGATTTTCAATAGTCCTATATGTTCGTACTTCATAGAAAAGGAAGAATTTACAAGAAGTCATCTTAAGATTTGGTTTCCCTAATCATCTAGAAATTCTATTTTGTTCCTGAAGTTCCTCAGTTTTTTCCTTTTTTCAAATATTCGATACTATTGATTGAGGATCCCATTGTAGCCTGTTGTTGTTGTAGCAGTTTAGCAGATTCAGTCAGGTTCTGTCTCCAAGTTAAGAAAAAGCTCCATGGACGGCATTCATTCTGCAACCGCATCAGTATGAATGCTATTTAGACCTGCTCGATAGACTACCTGATGTAGAGGATCTCTTTTATAATGTGTACCTCTCTCTCTAGATCGTGCAGATCCTTTCTGACACGCCTGGTGCGGGAGTCTTCTGTCTCCAAGTTAAGAAAGAGCTCCGAGGACGGCATTCATTCTGCAACTGCATCAGCATGAGTGATATTCAGATCTGCTCGATAGACTACTTGATCTAGAGCTTCCCTTTTATAATGTTGAATCTTTTTCTCTAGATAATGCAGTTCCTTCCTGACACGCCTGGGTGGGGGAGTCTTATCCACCATATGATGGTTGGGATGATTGTCCCTAAAGCACCCGAGCAGGTACTGCAACGAAAGCATATTGCTATGCTGACATAAGGGAAGGATATTCGTCCCCTAAGGAATAGGCACCTTGTTGCAGTTGTCAGGGCGGCGTTCGAACAAGTCTGAATACTTATCCATTGCGTAAAACTAGAGTGGCTATCGACAAATTGAGAACTTTCGTCAGGTTCTCAACTCCTGGCTCGGCTCGGCCAGCTGTTTCAGCATATACATGGTATTCCGTCAGGGCCCAACGCTTAGGATGACTTAGTATTACTGATGACATTTGTGAACCATTGTAAACTGTGGTGGTACCTCCTCGGCGGGAAGAGATCTTATACGACGTATCAAATACTCTTCGCTTCGTCTTGTCGCTCTCGGAATGCTCGATAAACTCTCCCCTTATTCTGGTGGAGGAATCCTCATTTTCCGTACAGAACGTGGAGCCATCAATTTGCTCTGACAGCACTGTCCCCCTCTGGTCATTACCTAGGACGGAATGCCACAACTCATTGTGAGCATTGAAATCCATTAGTACCAGACGGTTATTGTTAGGCAAATAATGCGGTTCACAGCTATTAATTGACGGTATGTACACGTTAACCACTTCTACCTCAGCAGTACCATATTTGACTGCCTTATTTGACTACCACATTTGACTGCTATGGGTCACTAGAGTCACGAGATATGCCTGCATTGAATTGAATGTTATTGTATTCTGAAGCGGACTATTATGTCGGCTGACGATCTACTCGTTTATAGCTTTATATCTTAAAGCTGCGACGTGTTTACGTATTACCGTGGACCGCGAGCTTTATATGACTTTGTCTTGGATATGCTGGCATCAACTCCAGCTGAAGTTAAGGGGCATGGTTATTCGAGTTAAGGTGGCCTTTTTAGTCCTGTTTAGCTGACAGAACTTGCTTTGCATAATTTATTGCATTACTGTGGTTGCAATGAGATCCTGATAGACCCTTTTTTTGTTGACCATTTACGGACGACATATAGGCATTGAGGTTACCAATTCTTAGTGGCAACCTCAATATAATACGAACAATTTCAGTGAGATCACGACGTTTTGGATGTGCATTTGGAGTAGTATATGTACCACAAGAGTTCCATATAAATGTGTTTTGGATGGCCAGAGCAGGGCCTAAGATGACACCAACCTAGAGATCTTGTATAATTAGATAATTTTGGGGGTAAACAAGATAAATTTATATCAAATGTTGAGTTAACAATCTATGACCGAGGTGAACTCTATATTTTTCGTTGTGTAAACCCGATCAGATCTGTTTCAAAGCTCTATCAAAAAATGTACGTTTTCTTACAATATTCTAAAAGTAGGTTCTATACTAATTGAAATAACAAATTACAGCTAAAATTCATAAAATCGTTAATTTCTGTTTAACCTTAATATAGAAAAAATATACAAATAAATTATTTTTTTCGTATCCTGAAACTTCAATTAATATAAATCATTAATTTTTAACCTCCACACAACACATCGGAAGCATTCTTAGGCGATTAGCACACAATTAATTTATTATTATTTTTTTTTTAACTTACATTGCTGTCCATTTCCAAACATGAATAGATGGGTTTTAAATCTGCCATAACCAGTTCTTTTCCGACTCGAGCATTGCTCTCTGTACATATGAGAATAGATTCGCCCAAAGTATCCTAAAAATATTCAACTGATATGCTTTGTTCGTATATTAAAACACAACCACAATTCATACCTTTCCAGTTCTACCAGCTCTACCAATCATTTGACGATATGTAAGTGAACTCATTTGTTTGCCTCCAAACAAAGGAGAACGTATCAAAACACGACGAGCTGGTAAATTGACACCTATAGAAAGCAAGAATTTATTTAATTGCAATAATAGTGTATGATATATTTTAACATTCATACCCGAACTTAGAGTGCTAGTAGCCACAATTATTTTCAGAGCTCCAGATTTAAAACTTGCCTCAACTATATCCCTTTCTTCCGTGGTTAGGCCAGCATGATGAAAGGCACAGCCATAGGTGACAGTTTTTTCCAAGACCGTATCCAAACCTAAAAACCACAAATCATATCATTTAAATTGATTCAATTATTATGAAAAATCTTACCAGTTGGAATATCCTTCAGCTGTTGCTTAACATCATCAATAGCTTCCCGATTGAGTTGAGCTTTTAATTTTATACCCCATTCACCACCCTGCTTACCGATGGCATGTATGTTACCGGCCAATTGTATAGCCAAATTTTCACACCAATCTTTCGAAGGGCAAAACACAATAACCGAACATCCTTCTATTAGAGTTTCCAAACACAATTGAGCCACATGATCTGAATCATTTGGTATCGTAGGAAATGGTTCACGAATATCCACTGATGGTTCAGTTATAGAACGTATAACTTTCAAATTGTTATCATAGATTTTATTACCGACTTTTATCATTTCATTTAAAGCAACCGGACGAAAATCGGTAATAAATAATTCAGCATTTAACCATTTTTGTAGCAATTGTACATTGGCCAATGTTGCAGACATGGTAATAACTTGTATTTGCAATGCGTATTTTTGTGACATATAAAGTATTTTGGCCAAAAGCAATTCAAGTATATAACCTCTACCGGGGTCAGATATTAAATGAACTTCATCGACTACCACAGTACCGATTTCATCCAATTTGCCTTGTTCCAATAATTTATTTACAATTGAATTGGCTTTTTCGATAGTACAAATGGCAACATTTATACTATCAAATCCACCAGGTGGGGTATAACCACCGAAAAACCCCTCTACACGATATCCGGCTGCTGTTAACAGATCTTGTAGATAGAACATTTTTTCTCGTACCACAGATATGAATGGTAATATTAGCAATACCTTTTTACCACGTTCCAACACAGTTTTAAGCAGAAGAATTTCACTAACCAGTGTCTTGCCAGCCGAAGTGGGCGCAGAGTATACCAAATTGCAATGTTCGAAAAGTATCTGAAAATATAAAATTCATGAAATCATTTTTAATTTAATTTTTTAAAGAATATTTTTTTAGTGTTTATAAAATGCGTGGATTTTTTAAATATTTTTTCAGGGTCTATAAAAGACCTGAATTTATTAAAGAATATTATTCAGGGTCTATAAAAGGCGTGGATATTTTAAAGAATATTTTTTCAGGGTCTATAAAAGGCGTGGATTTTTTTTTAAAGATTATTTTTTCAGGGTCTAAAAAATGCGTGGATTTTTTTAAAGATTATTTTTCAGGGTCTATAAAAGGAGCAGATTTTTTAAAGATTATTTTTTCATGATCTATAAAAGGCGTAGATTATTTAAAGAATATTTTTCAGGGTCTATAGAATGCGTGGATTTTTTAAAGAATATTTTTCAGGGCCTATAATAGTAGTGGGTTTTTTAAAGAATAGTTTTCACTGTCTATAAAGTTTTTCAGGGCGCGGATTTTTTAAAGAATAGTTTTCAGGGTCTATAATAGGCGTGGATTTTTTAAAGAATAGTTTTCAGGGCCTATAAAGTTTTTCAAGGCGCGGATTTTTTAAAGAATAGTTTTCAGGGTCTATAAAGTTTTTCAAGGCGAGGATTTTTTAAAGAATAGTTTTCAGGGTCTATAAAGTTTTTCAAGGCGCGGATTTTTTAAAGAATAGTTTTTCAGGGTCTATAAAAGGCGTGGATTTTTTTAAGAATAGTTTTTCAGGGTCTATAAAAGGCGTGGATTTTTTTAAGAATAGTTTTTCAGGGTTTATAAAAGGCGTGGATTTTTTTAACCCTTTCAGTGTTTTTGTCGAATATATTCGACATTTAAAATTACTCTCTTTGCGATTTTTCGGTTATCCTATGTACCGTTACAATTGATGTTTTTGTTTTTGCTGAAAGACAGACAAAACTGTCCGAGGGTTAAAATAATTTTTTTCTAAACACTGTGCATAAATACAAAATTTTAAATTTTTATTCTGACAAAAAATTTTTTTTGACACTGAAAGGGTTAAGAATAGTTTTTCAGGGTCTTTAAAAGGCGTGGATTTTTTAAGAATAGTTTTTCAGGGTCTTTAAAAGGCGTGAATTTTTTAAGAATATTTTTTCAAGGCCTATGCTAAGCATGCGAATAGTTTTAAATAAATTAAATCTTACCTTAGGATTACAAAGGCACTGAACTTGCCAGTCGAACATTTGTTTAACACCTTTACGTTCATATTCACGTAGAACACTTAATGGCAAATTCCAAGCCGATATGGATTTCAGAGCATCCAAATTATTTGATATTGTCATTTTTTCCTTAGTTTCTTCGGTCTTTGTAGACGATTCATATTTCTTACTTTTATCCATAGGTTTAGTTCTGACAGGTGTTTGGATTTTTATATTTGGACTTACTGTTGGAGAATTCTGGGTAAATTTCAATTGATCGGGTGACATATGACTTAGACTAATATCGTTTTCAGCCACAACTGATTTTTGAGATTCTTTAAATATTTTATGACTTGTTCTTAATTCTTTGCTAAGAGTTTGCTTTCTCTGTTCATTGTTTTCTTCGGCCTCTTTGGGATGACTAAGAAAACTGCTGATTTCATGCATAACTTCAGGTGAATCCTGGCCATTTTCATTATTATCAGGTATTGCAGATAATGGTAGAGAATCTTTCCACATGTCAACATCTTCGTTGGCATCTTCTGTATCTAATAGGTCTTTGAGGTCCTCGGAGAATATAGGTTTTTCCAACGACTCACTGTTTTCATCGATATCCTCATCTCCAGCGTTATTTGTGTAGTTCATGCTCTGCTCAAAATCAATTGAATCTTTCGATCTATTTTGTAAATTTTCATTACTTTTATCCACTCCACCAATATCGCCTTCCTCAAATTTAAAGGATTCTTGACTATCCTTCGACGAGTTGAGTTTTCCATTGCCATTCTCCTTTACGGGATCAATACAATTAAAGGCAGCCTCGATTTGTGAAACTCTTAAAAACGATTCATTATCATCTCCGCCTGTTTGTTTAGCTTTAGAAATATCGTTCGGAATGGAAAAATCACTGCGGAAAAATTCCGAATAATTTGTGCAACTTTCTTCTTTTGGTGCTTTGGGCAATGTTGAATCGGATTTACTACGCCTAAATTTCCGATGATATGTAGAATCAGCCGTTCTTGTATTGGTACGTTGTGTAGCATTACGGGTGCGTATTGACTTGGAGGACGAAAATAGTGACGTTTTGTTGTTCGATTTTGGGGATTCATCAATGACATCCAAAACTCCTCCGTTTGGAGCGCGATTCTCTTGATCACCTTCGAGGGCATGTTTTGCCTGGCTTTCCAGTTTCATAAAAGTGCTATTGCCAAATTCGAACGATTGTGAAAATTCCATTTTTTTTCTTTCAAATGGTAACAAATTCTTTGTACAAATTTCAACAAAAAAAATTAAATCATCAAAATAATAATCAAAAGGAAAATTGTAAATAAATTGTGCGCGGTTCAACAAAAGCAAAACAATAATAGAATTTCGCAAATTTGAAATTAATCGATTTTACAGAAAAAACATCGATAACCGTTGGTAATGACGTTATTATTTGAACCTGGGAATGGTAATGCAGTGCAAAACTTCGAAAGATAGTGTGTCGTTTAGACGAACGAGGACAATATGTTGGTAATGATGTTCATCTATAATATTGGTCATGGTGTAACTAATATTTAATTTAACAAAAAAATCGATGTCCATCTTATCGGACATCGCGAAGATTTCAGCTTGGAAAACACTACAGTTGCTATACAGCTTGTAGGTAAGCTCAAGGCCTTACCTTTCAACGTAGACGCCTGTCTCCGTACCTTCTTCCATCTTGGACACGTCTGTATAGAAAGTCAGATCGTCCAGATGACGTTGCTACGTTTCCAGTCGTCTCTACTAGGGTTAAATTGGTAAAATTGACATGGGTTCTAAAAGCACATTTTGCCGTCCAAAAGTATAATAGATCAACAAATCTATCTTGTTGATTTGATTAGTTTTCATGCTGATGTAGTTCTCATGTCACATAAGAATGTAATCCATTCTCATGGGGACCAAAATATAGTAATTTTAAACTGGACCAGACAAATCAAGAATTTTTAACCATATATATGCGGGATGGTGACAACATACCTGTCACACATAGCTCACATTCATTTGAACATAACATAGTTGCATTATTTGATATCCATTCCGTGAAACTCCCAACCCTGCCAGTGATTCCGAAACAGCTGATTGATTTCAAGTGAAAACATATGATTTTTTACAATTTTCTTTTGCTCACATTCTAAACATTTTCAAATATTTGCTTTTGTGCACTTTTCCTCGCAGATTTTCTTTAAAAGCACATTCGCCTCCAGATAGTTGAACGTTTCTTTGCTCAATCCTAACAATTTGCCAACCCGAAACAATAGGAACTGACCACGCAAATGGAGGAATTTAAGAAACCATCGCTTCCTGTGGCGCCGGCGAAGATAGAGAAACCCAAGGAAGAATTAAAGAAACCAATCGCCGAAGATAAGACTAAAGTAAAAGATGAGGCGCCAAAACCTCAACCGGCAACAAATAAACCACCTCAAACATGTCCCTATAAAGTTCCACTCTGGTCCAAGAATCCACCCAACGAAAGCAGTTACTCATTTGAAGTTCTTAAATCTGGACAAATAATCGATGGAGTTAAAAATTTACAAACAAAGGCATTTTGGACATTTGGTCGCCTACCGGAGAATGACATTGAAATGGCACATCCAACCATTTCCCGGTTTCATGCTGTTCTACAGTATAGACCTAAGAAAATTGAAACACAAACGGAGGAAAATGATGACGAAGATGATGAGACAAAAGAGGAGGATGAGAAAAAAGAAGAAGCTGGTGATAAAGGGCCTCCAGAAGGATGGTATATTTATGATTTGGACAGTACCCACGGTACGTTTCTAAATAAACAGAGAATTCCACCCAAGGTGTATATACGAATACGTGTGGGTCATATGTTACGTTTGGGTGCCAGTACACGGTCATATATTCTGCAAGGTCCACCGGAAGACGAAGAACCCGAATCGGAATTGACAATAACGGAGTTAAAGGAAAAAAGACAGAGAGATTTGGAGGCTGCAGCATTGGAAAAGAAACGTTTGGCCGAAGAGGCTGCAGAAAGGGAACGTAATGAGGGATGTAGTTGGGGCATGACTGATGACGCTGACGAGGAAACAGATTTGACCCACAATCCATTTGCTGCCACAAATAATGAAGAACTTTTCTTAGACGATCCCAAGAAAACGCTGAGAGGCTATTTCGAACGTGAAGGTTTAGAGTTGGAATATAAATGTGATGAAATGTCAGCGGGATCATATGTCTGTCGTGTTGAGCTGCCCTTGGATGATGACAATGGGCGGTCAATTGTGGCCGAAGTTGTACACAAGGGCAAAAAGAAGGAGTGTGTGGTGCAATGTGCCTTGGAAGCATGTCGTATTCTCGATCGTCACGGCGTCCTACGACAGGCTAATCAAGAACCACAGAAACGTAAACAAAAATCTAAAGATTCCGATTCAGATGATGATGAGTTTTGGGATCGTACCGGCGATGTGGCCAGGAAGAAACAAAGACGAGCAAATACGACAGCGAATGTAACGCTGACATATGATGATTTGGTAAGGGATGGAGGGGGTGATTTGAAATGTGCAAATTTTTTATATTTGAAAATGTTTTTTTTTTTTATTAGCTGAAACAAGAGGAAGAGCTGAACAAAGAACTCCAACAAGTACAGGCCAATATCGTGGCATACCAGGAGAAGAAAAAACAACTTAAAACACAAAAAGAAAAGGAGGAATCCAATGACGATCTGGATAGTTATATGGAGAATTTGCAAACAAAAGAAAACCCGGTGGATAAAATTGAAATAAAGAAGTTGAGGGTAAGTTATTTTTAATTTCATTTATAAAAATTGGTCACCTAACAAATAGAACCCAAAACGCTATCAAAAGAAATTATAAAATCTCAAAAATAAATCATCATATTTTATCTCTTCCAGCTTGAAGAATTACGACTGAAAACAGAAATTCAACGAAATCAAAGACTTCTAAAGATAGCCAAACCAGTTGATCTGCCATTCATGAGAAATCCTTTGGAAGGTCACAAAAATGAATCGGCCCAAGGAGAGGTGAAGAAAAAACAATTGCCAATGATTGGTAAACGTAATCAATTTAGTAAATTTAAAATTGTCAAACCACAAGAAAGCAATAAAAGTTCAAAACCCTCAGCTCAATTGGCATCCGACGAAGAGGAAGTTGAAGAAGAAGAACAAAGTAGAACTGAAACAAAAGTTGTTAAAGAAGAGCCAATTAAAGCTGAGAGTAAAGTTAACATAGATGAAATCTTCGAAAGAAATCCAGAAAAGAAAGAAGACAAACCAAACTTGACGAAACCATCATTGGATAATGATGAAGAAATCAGTGAAACACCATCACAGCAATCCCCAAAGGTGGAGAAAATTGTGGAAAAAGAACCTGCAATTGTTAAGGATGATATAGTATCGGAAACAAAACCTGTCGAAGTAATCCCAGACCCTGCTAGTAAAGAAGATAGAGGCGCAACAAATACGGCTGCCTCCACTGAAAGCTCCAAAAAGCGAAGACAACGCAACCGACAACGCACTAAACGTGAAGCAGACATGGACGATGACATTGAATATGAATCATCAGAGAAATATGCGAAATGGGTACCACCAGAAAATCAAACTGGAGATGGTATTACAGAATTAAACAAGAAATATGGTTATTAAAAAATATTTCATTGATTTTATAAAAAAATATCAGTAAAAATAAGAATAAAAACGGATAAAAATATTTTTACAAATATTTTTTAAGACTCTCAAATATGGAATCTGTGGAACAAATTGATAAACACATAACCAAGCTTTTTATGTTGTTTTTTTACTTTATTTACTATTCTCCTCCATTTACTTCTTACGTTCATAAGGAAATTCATAAACTGGCGCTGAATCCTTGGTGCCACGGCTCTTTTTCTTGGGTTTCAGCAGACGAGGCTGTTGCAGGGCTCGTTTGATTTCTAGCTTCTGCTGAACCAAAGCCAATGCTTTTTCACGTTCAATACGTTTTGATAGCTCCTGATATGATTGTAATTTCAATTGATTGGCCTTTTTGATTTCCTAAAAAGGAAAAGGAGACAAATTAATAAATTTGATTCACCTAAATATCCCCACCTCATACCTCTGGACTCAATGCAGGAATTTGTAACTTTTCCAAATCCTTCAGACGTGGACGATTTGTTTTCCTATCCAACATACTGGGGTGGGTTTCTAAACGTTCTGCCAATTCCATATCACTCAGTTCCTTTGCCTCAACATATTCACCATTTTTCGGCTCTTCATCGAAGAACAAATGCTTATTGGGCACAGTGTTGGCAAAGTCGATCATATGTAGCTGTGACTGTAAGCGTTTAATTTTCTTCGCTTCCATTGTACGTTTCATGGTAATATATTTGATATCTTGTGTCTCCATCAGTGCCAACTGTTCCTTACTATGTTCATCCTTTTCCACATCTTCATCGTGATGTTCGCCATCGTGTAACTTGGAACGTATCATATGATGATAGAATTCATCGGGATTTTTATTCAAGGCCCGTTTGTGCAATATTTGAAGGGTTTTAGCCTTGCGTTCTGCATCTCTAGCCCGTTTGCGATAATCTTTTTTCTTTTCTAAGAGTCCAAGGTGTGCACGTGCCTCTGGCTGATGTCTTTCTCTGTGCACCTTTTGATTACTTTTCGACGCCTTTTTCCACGAAGACATTTTGAGGATGGTTTGGTGTAGTATTTAATTTTTAATATTACAATTTATTTAACTTTTTCAATAGCTTCAACAATCAAACGAAAACAAAACACAAGCACATGTGAATTTGTAAACATTGGATGACAGTTTGATTTTCACAAACAGTGTTGTCAAATTCAGAACGAAAAAAAAACGCTAAAAACATGAATTCACTAAAAGGACTCTTACGTGATGTGAAATCGAAAGGAACAAGTCTAGTATAGGATCTATTGAAATTTTTACCACATATATGTGCCTCCAAAGTTCCGTTGGTACCCTTGTATTATATCAAGATTTTTACAATTTACTAGGGCAATGTGGGTATCAATTTTAAGAGTTAAAATTCCTCCGGACCATTTATCAATTCTGAAAAACAATATGGGATTTGTGGAGATTTAGTACTTTATCCTACGGAACTTTGGAGAACTATATCTTCGAAAATACTGATTTCAGCAAGAAAAAAAGTGTACCGTTGTAATCAGGGCCCAAGGACTACATGTGGTAAAAATGTCAAAATGATCCCCGCGAGGGGACCTAAACTAGATTTAGAACAAGGAAATATTTTACGTAACATTTAAGCCACTCTTTGGTTCCGTAGTAGTGGGTTTCGAAGGTTGCTGTGATGACTTGCCACTATGTCCGACTTTCATCTTCCCTGTGGTAGCCATTCCTTTTGCGTCTGGTTGCTGTTTCTCATCCTCTGCTTTGCTATATAGCTGTCTCATTATTTGATCCAGTGAGTTTCCTTTGTCGTCGGCTTGGTAGAGGTTCCGGCAAAGGTAGCCACTGTATGCGAGGTAGGAATTTGGCCAATCAGAAGTTCCCTAGAGGACTTGTGGGGGTTATTTTCATACCTTTTGACGACCTACAGATGCTTCTTTATCCACCTGAATTCCTTCTTACGGAACATGTTGGTTTCCTTATCTAAGTATCGCTCTCAATAACTGCCCTTCGATTTGCCTTCTTATCAATCGCTTCTTTTGGTTGCAGGAACCGACAGCGAAGGTTCCAAAGTGGCTTTTGTGATACAATAATTGATTTGTGGAGGACCTGAGGCAAGAACTTGGTAACTAAACCTAATACTCATCGGATAGCGCTTGATTTGTGGCGGCTGAAACACTGGGGAATAGACATCCAGTGGCTGTGAAGAGGATGCGGATGAACACCAACAAGAGGCGATGAAACGGTCTCATAAAAAGGAATCAAAGCATAGCAACATTGCTACTTAAATAGGGGTTCCCGATGACTGACGAGTGGCAGTCATTGACTGCATTTATCGCGATGGGTGTATCAGTTAAGATTATTGCTTGTAATCGATCGGTAACTTAATGACTTCTTCTGGACTGCTGGTGGTTGAAACCTTCGGTTAACTGAAATTGTTGCGGATTGACTTAAGAAAGCAGTTAATTACATCTATCCACTTTGGAAGGTTGTAAGCAGACTGTTGTCATTTCTAAGACACTTGTTCAGCAGCTGTTAATTTTTTTTTGGCCGCGTCGCATTTGCCGAAAAATGGCTCGTGAGCTGAACATATCGCAATATTCTATTCGGCAAATATCGAAAAATGAGCTCGGGGTAAATCCATTGAAATTTCAAAAAGTGCAAGAACTAACACCACAAAAGAAAGAAAATAGATTCAAAAGAGCTACTTCGTTTGGCCGAAAGTTGTGAACTGCCGAATTTGGTATTCTCCGATGAGAAAACATTCGTTGTCCTGCAGTTTGTAAACAAACAAAATTATCGTGTTTACTTGCCAAAGAGGTCAGCTGAAAATTTGCACCTTTGGTGGTGTGGGCCGTCATAACAGCTAATGTGGGTGTGGGCCGTCATAACAGCTAATGGTCGCTCTCCGCTCTTATTAATCGACCGTGGCATCAAAATAATTGCCGAATATTATCGCGAAAATATTCTGGAGGGTTTATCAAAGCCTAGGACACGCAAAAATTTTGGCCGCAGACCTTGGACATTCCGAAAGGACTCAGCAAGCGCCACTCAAGAATGGTTACAAAATGAGGTTCCTCGCTTCATTTCCAGCACACAATGGCCACGAAAATCTCCGGATACCAATCCGTTAGACTCTTGCGCCTGGAGTATTTTAGAAAGCAATATTGGCACTAAAAATACCAAAGTGTCGATCACCTTAAGCAAGCGCATGGCCCATAATTAGCCGTTTGAAGGCCATAATTCGTGCCAAAGGTGATCAATTCGAACAAATCTAAACTTATTCTAAAATTTGATGCTATTTACGACATTTTTTACTTTCATTCAATAAAATAAAAAAAAATTAATCATTATGGCGCTTTTATCTCACCCTGTATTTGAAAGAGTGGCTAAAAGGCAAGTGACAAAAAATTTAGTCTACTCGATGAAAAAATTTCAATGTATAAACTGATTCTTGACATACTGTATTTTCTTTTTCATGATTCCTAAAACTGCTACATTGACAACACTATTACAAATACCATATGGCAACGCCATTTAAAATGTGAATGCGAAGAGAAGGCAGAGAAACAAAAACAAACCAAAACACGTGCATCGTTGACGGGAGAGGTTGTTGCTGTTCGGTGTAGCTGAATTTTTATTCCAATTAATTGCATTTTTAATAGAAATCCTGAACAGAAAAATATAACTCAAAATGGTTAAGAAGAAAATTGATAATCGTATTCGTGTTATGATTGAAAATGGTGTCAAATTGGGACATCGTACCATGTTTATAATTATTGGTGACAAGGCAAGAGATCAAGTGCCCATACTCTATGATATTTTGACCAAGTCCACGGTAAAAGCACGACCCTCCGTTTTGTGGTGTTACAAGAATAAGGATGAGGCTATATCCAAGTAAGTTTAATGATTTATTTATAAAATGAAACAAAATTAATCAGATTTTCTAACATTTTTTAGTCATGGCAAAAAACGTGCCAAGAAAATAGCGGCTGGTAAAATTGACATCAACGATGCGGATTTGTTTGATACGTTCCGTGTATCGACCACAATTCATGGTCGCTATTATTCAGAAACTCATGCAATTTTGGGTAGAACTTATGGTGTTTGTGTTCTACAAGATTTCGAAGCTTTGACACCGAATTTATTGGCTCGTACTGTGGAAACTGTTGAGGGTGGTGGTTTAATTATTTTGTTATTGAAAACATTGAACTCGCTGAAACAATTGTATACCATGAGTATGGATGTCCACAAACGTTTCCGCACCGAAGCCCATCAAACGGTGACCTGCCGTTTCAATGAACGTCTTATATTATCGTTGGCCGATTGTAAACGTTGTTTGGTGGTGAATGATGATTTAACTGTCTTGCCATTGAGTTCCAAGACAGCAAATGTTATTCCCGTTAATGTAAGTATCTTATATGTGAATAATTTTCATATAATGGTAAATAAATGATTTCTCTCTTTGTAGCCTGCAGAAATTACAAAATCTGAAAACAACGATTTACTGGTGGAATTGAAAGAAAGTCTTCGTGACACTCCCCCAGCAGGACCTTTGGTAAATCTATGTAAAACTTATGATCAGGCCAAGGCTGTGGCTCAATTCATAGAAGCATTGGCCGAGAAACAGTTGAAGTAAGTACTGAAATGTTTTAAAATATTTTTTTTAGCTTTCCTTACGCAAGGGATGTAGGTTTTGTTGGGCGCCACATTGTCCAAATATGTTTTTTAATGAATGATAAATAAACTTGAGGAGTATTGCACAATGCGGAATGTGGAAATCAAAATGCAATGAAGGGATAATATCCAAGAGACAGAAATGGTATTTCAGGGGAAACGAAATTTCAATCACATCGAGTTCTAAATATGGGATTTTATTTTTTCGATGAAATTGAAGATTTATGTATATACGTGCATTATAATGCAAGAAACAGGTGATAGTGGACATATTTTTATTTGGAAAAACCACTTAAGGGTACTTAAGGGGAAACGCACAAGACGTCCTGTAGACTTGCACCAACTGGGGAACTTGAGAACTACAGCTTCGAGGTTGTCAAAGATTTTATATACCTTGGTGCCGCCATATATAAAACCAATGATATTTGGAGAAGGATAGTGCTGGCCAACAGATGATACTATGGTCTAAGTAAGCAGTTTAGAAACGCCAGACCAAACTGACACTCTACAAAACGCTGATACTATCCGTGCTGTTATATAGATCTGAAGCATGAGTACTTGGACAAGCAGATGAGGCACCTCTTGTAGTGTTTGAAAGAAAAAAATCTCCGAAATATCTATGGGCCGATCTGCGTTGATTATCAGACGTATCGAGCTGCAGTGACTACGTTGGCTAGGTCATGTTGTGAGAATGTTGTGAGGATGCCCTAGCACAAAAGCGTACCAACTGATGGCTCACGAAAAACGGAAGGCCACGAATTAGATTGAAAGGTCAAGGTTAAGATAACATTTCGGAACATGGTCTTTCAAATTGGAAGTGCTGCGCACAAGACCGACGCGCCTTGCAATCTTTTTTAAGCTCGGCTTATGGAACAAATGTTTTGTCACAAGCGAGCTAAGTATGTTAATAAGGATACCGTCGTTAACGATCTCACAGGATCACAAGACTGAAATAATTTCATCTTGTTTTTTGGTCCTTTGCTTATGAGGAAATAAAAATGACTTTTTTAATTCCCTACAAGGTGGTTACCCAAAATTCAGGTGTTCCGAACAAAATTGTTATTTTATATGTTAGATGATAATAAATTTCAAATTTCATTCATTTTCAGACCACCGACTTCCTTGACTGCTGCTCGTGGTCGTGGAAAATCTGCTGCCATGGGTCTGTCAATTGCAGCTGCCGTAGCTTTTGGTTATGTCAATATCTATGTGACCTCCCCACATCCGGAGAATTTAATTACACTCTTCGAATTTGTACTCAAAGGATTTGATGCTTTGGAATACCAGGAACACACAGACTATACAATTATACGTTCTACAAATCCTGACTATAAGAAAGCTATTATACGCATAAATATTACACGTTCCAATCGTCAAACTATCCAATATATTGCACCCAATGATACACATTTGCTGAATGCTGCAGATCTTTTATTAATTGATGAAGCTGCAGCCATACCATTGCCATTGGTTAAGAAAATGATTGGTCCATATCTGATATTTATGGCTTCGACCATTAATGGTTACGAGGGTACGGGAAGATCGCTTAGCTTGAAGTTGATATCTCAGCTGCAAAAGGAGAATTCGGCACCACCACCGGTAAGCCATAACAAAATTATTGAAAAAAATTGACAATTTTGGAATAATTGGTTTTGTTTTTCTTCTTTAGATCAAACTCGACGAGTCGATTCGTTATGCCCAGGGCGATGACATCGAAAGCTGGCTCATTAACTTGCTGTGTTTGGATGCCACAAGTACAGTACCAAATATTAGTTCCGGTTGTCCCACACCCGATGCCTGTGAACTTTATTACATCGATCGTGATGCTTTGTTTTCCTATCACAAAGCCGCAGAGTCTTTCTTACATAGATTGGTATCAATTTATGTTTCATCACATTACAAAAATAGTCCCAATGATTTACAGATGATGAGTGATGCCCCTGCCCATCATTTATTCTGTTTATTGGGTCCAATACAACGTAAAGATCAATTACCAGAAATTTTGGTAGTCATCCAAGTGGCATTGGAGGGAGAAATTTCTTCACAAACCATTACCGATTCTTTGGGTAGGGGCAAAAAGGCCAGTGGTGATTTAATTCCCTGGAATGTCTCCGAGCAATATGGTGATAGAGAATTCCCCAAATTGGCTGGTGTCAGGGTAGTGCGTATTGCAACACATCCCAATTATCAGAGGGTAAGTTTAAAGAAAATATTTTAGATAGAAAATACAATTGTAACTCCTCGAGGTTCTCATAACAAATTGATACATTTTTTAATGTTTCTATTTTTAAATTTCAGATGGGCTATGGTAAAAGAGCTTTGAAATTATTGAAAGACTACTATGGAGGCAAATTTACAGATTTAAATGAAAATAATGGACTCAATGAGGACAATGGTAAATAAACTTTAATTAATTTTAAACTTTAATAAACTAATACTTTTTTAATATCCCCTCCCTTAGGTATCGAAGAAGTTGAAGAAGAAGATGTTGGTCTATTAAAAGAGCAGATACGTCCCAGACGTAAAATACCCACCCTGTTGAAACGTTTAAATGAACGTTTACCGGAAAACATTGACTATTTGGGAACCTCATATGGCCTGACACAAGAATTACTAAAATTCTGGAAGAATTTAGGTTATGTCCCCGTCTATCTCAGTCAAAAAGCCAATGATTTAACCGGCGAACATTCCTGCATTATGTTACATACGTTAGATAAATCAGGCCTTAATGAAAAAGTCAGTGCCGAATGGTTAAGTTTATATTTCAACGATTTTCGGCGTAGAGTTCTAAAACTTTTGGGTAAAACGTTTAGAGAATTTCCCACAAGTTTGGCTCTCTCATTACTCGACAATAAATGGGTGAAAATACCCCAAGAGGATTTGAATAAACAAACATTGGATGTATATTTCCTGCCTCACGATTTACAACGTTTGGAATCGTATTCCCGCAATCAAATCGAATACCGTTTAATATTGGATCTTACCACGGACATCAGTTATTTATATTTCCAAGGTAAAATCTCGGAATTGCAAATTGATACTCTACAAAAAGCCATATTATTGGCAATTGGTGTACAAGGTAAAACTGTGGATGGTATTGCCGATGAGCTAAATATGCCGGGTAATCAAATATTGGCTAAATTTTATGATTTAATTAAAAAATCCTCAAAATATTTCTCGAATGTCATTGAGGGTCACATAGAAAGTACAATGATTAGTGAAACACAATTAAAACGTGGTGAAGATTTTGAACCCATTTCATTGTCCCTTAACGAAGAACTTGAGGAGACTGCCAAACAAATTACCAAGAAACAAAAAGATGATTTGAAGCGACTAAAAATGGAAAGTCTTAAAGAATTTGCCATCAAGGGCAGTGATGAAGATTGGTCGAAGGCTTTGTCGGGCAAAGAGGCGAAACCTAAATTGATTTCCGTTAAAAGGTAATAAAATATAATTTTTATCAAATAATATAAATTCTAAAATTTGTTTCCTTCTAGTGGCGTAAAACGTTTAGATGAACCTTTGGAGCCACCCAAATCAGACAATGAACCCAAAAAGAAAAAAATGAAATTTGGCAAAAAATTAAAAAATAAATCTGTAATTTAGTTGTAATATACATACATATTGTTTTATATTAATGTATTTTAATATATATCTATTTTGTAGTTTTACAAATTAAAAAACCATAAAATACAATAAATGTAAGGATTTTATTTTTTAAATTTCTTTTTATAAAAATATATATTTGGAAACATTTTATGTTATAGCTTTTTAAAGATTATCTTTTCAAGGTCTATCACTAGGCGTGGATTTTTTAAAGAATATTTTTTTAATTCCTATGAAAGAGGCGTGGATTTTTTAAAGAATATATATTTTTAAGGCCTATGAAAGAGGCGTGGATTTTTTAAAGAATATTTTTTTAAGGCCTATGAAAGAGGCGTGGATTTTTTAAAGAATATTTTTTTAAGGCCTATGAAAGAGGCGTGGATTTTTTAAAGAATATTTTTTAAGGCCTATGAAAGAGGCGTGGATTTTTTAAAGAATATTTTTTAAGGCCTATGAAAGAGGCGTGGATTTTTTAAAGAATATTTTTTTAAGGCCTATGAAAGAGGCGTGGATTTTTTAAAGAATATTTTTTTAAGGCCTATGAAAGAGGCGTGTATTTTTTAAAGAATATTTTTTTAAAGCCTATGAAAGAGGCGTGGATTTTTTAAAGAATATTTTTTAAGGCCTATGAAAGAGGCGTGGATTTTTTAAAGAATATTTTTTTAATTCCTATGAAAGAGGCGTGGATTTTTTAAAGAATATTTTTTTTAAGGCCTATGAAAGAGGCGTGGATTTTTTAAAGAATATTTTTTTAAGGCCTATGAAAGAGGCGTGGATTTTTTAAAGAATATTTTTTAAGGCCTATGAAAGAGGCGTGGATTTTTTAAAGAATATTTTTTTAAGGCCTATGAAAGAGGCGTGGATTTTTTAAAGAATATTTTTTTAAGGCCTATGAAAGAGGCGTGGATTTTTTAAAGAATATTTTTTTAAGGCCTATGAAAGAGGCGTGGATTTTTTAAAGAATATTTTTTTAAGGCCTATGAAAGAGGCGTGGATTTTTTAAAGAATATTTTTTTAAGGCCTATGAAAGAGGCGTGGATTTTTTAAAGAATATTTTTTTAAGGCCTATGAAAGAGGCGTGGATTTTTTAAAGAATATTTTTTTAAGGCCTATGAAAGAGGCGTGGATTTTTTAAAGAATATTTTTTTAAGGCCTATGAAAGAGGCGTGGATTTTTTAAAGAATATTTTTTAAGGCCTATGAAAGAGGCGTGGATTTTTTAAATAATATTTTTTTAAGGCCTATGAAAGAGGCGTGGATTTTTTAAAGAATATTTTTTTAAGGCCTATGAAAGAGGCGTGGATTTTTTAAAGAATATTTTTTTAAGGCCTATGAAAGAGGCGTGGATTTTTTAAAGAATATTTTTTTAAGGCCTATGAAAGAGGCGTGGATTTTTTAAAGAATATTTTTTTAAGGCCTATGAAAGAGGCGTGGATTTTTTAAAGAATATTTTTTTAAGGCCTATGAAAGAGGCGTGGATTTTTTAAAGAATATTTTTTTAAGGCCTATGAAAGAGGCGTGGATTTTTTAAAGAATATTTTTTTAAGGCCTATGAAAGAGGCGTGGATTTTTTAAAGAATATTTTTTTAAGGCCTATGAAAGAGGCGTGGATTTTTTAAAGAATATTTTTTTAAGGCCTATGAAAGAGGCGTGGATTTTTTAAAGAATATTTTTTTAAGGCCTATGAAAGAGGCGTGGATTTTTTAAAGAATATTTTTTTAAGGCCTATGATTTTTTAAGAGGCCTATGTGGATTTTTTAAAGAATATTTTTTTAAGGCCTATGAAAGAGGCGTGGATTTTTTAAAGAATATTTTTTTAAGGCCTATGAAAGAGGCGTGGATTTTTTAAAGAATATTTTTTTAAGGCCTATGAAAGAGGCGTGGATTTTTTAAAGAATATTTTTTTAAGGCCTATGAAAGAGGCGTGGATTTTTTAAAGAATATTTTTTTAAGGCCTATGAAAGAGGCGTGGATTTTTTAAAGAATATTTTTTTAAGGCCTATGAAAGAGGCGTGGATTTTTTAAAGAATATTTTTTTAAGGCCTATGAAAGAGGCGTGGATTTTTTAAAGAATATTTTTTTAAGGCCTATGAAAGAGGCGTGGATTTTTTAAAGAATATTTTTTTAAGGCCTATGAAAGAGGCGTGGATTTTTTAAAGAATATTTTTTTAAGGCCTATGAAAGAGGCGTGGATTTTTTAAAGAATATTTTTTTAAGGCCTATGAAAGAGGCGTGGATTTTTTAAAGAATATTTTTTTAAGGCCTATGAAAGAGGCGTGGATTTTTTAAAGAATATTTTTTTAAGGCCTATGAAAGAGGCGTGGATTTTTTAAAGAATATTTTTTTAAGGCCTATGAAAGAGGCGTGGATTTTTTAAAGAATATTTTTTTAAGGCCTATGAAAGAGGCGTGGATTTTTTAAAGAATATTTTTTTAAGGCCTATGAAAGAGGCGTGGATTTTTTAAAGAATATTTTTTTAAGGCCTATGAAAGAGGCGTGGATTTTTTAAAGAATATTTTTTTAAGGCCTATGAAAGAGGCGTGGATTTTTTAAAGAATATTTTTTTAAGGCCTATGAAAGAGGCGTGGATTTTTTAAAGAATATTTTTTTAAGGCCTATGAAAGAGGCGTGGATTTTTTAAAGAATATTTTTTTAAGGCCTATGGAAGAGGCGTGGATTTTTTAAAGAATATTTTTTTAAGGCCTATGGAAGAGGCGTGGATTTTTTAAAGAATATTTTTTTAAGGCCTATGAAAGAGGCGTGGATTTTTTAAAGAATATTTTTTTAAGGCCTATGAAAGAGGCGTGGATTTTTTAAAGAATATTTTTTTAAGGCCTATGAAAGAGGCGTGGATTTTTTAAAGAATATTTTTTTAAGGCCTATGAAAGAGGCGTGGATTTTTTAAAGAATATTTTTTTAAGGCCTATGAAAGAGGCGTGGATTTTTTAAAGAATATTTTTTTAAGTTATGACTTTTTTTATGTTATGACTTATGTGCCCCTCCGGGTCACGTATGAACCAATTCAATATTTACATTGTAATTTGTAAATAATTAATATAGTTTACAAATAAAAATTAAGCTTTCACCTTGCACAATTTCCCCTCCTGAATGTGAAATTTTCTCGTAAGACAAAAATTATTCTCTTAGCTACTCCATTACCCCTTGATATGATTTTCCCAATGAATGGCTAGATTCCCCCACTTCCACTGAAATGAATTCAGTTAATAGAGAGATGGTGAGAGAATTCATCCATTGTGGGAGAGAGTTAACAATTCATTTTTGGAATACTTGTTTGGAAGTACACAATTCCTGACTGACTGCCTACCTACCTAAAAATACCTACACACAAGGAATGACATTCCAAAATAGAACCAATGAAGTTCAGTAAGGCAGTTACCATTGACACTAAAAGAACATTAAAACGGAATAAAGAAGGAATTGTCCAAAAATAATATTGGGATTATTATATTACTTACAGAGTCTGTGTGTGTGAGTGTCTGTTGCTAAAACGAAAAAAAAGAATAAATAAATTTGAATTTATTAAACATAAAATTATTTCAAATAATTTTTTGGATAACAAAAAGAAGTAAAAAAAAAAAATAAAAGCCACCTGATTTTCTGTTAACCTTAGCGAAAAAATATAAATTGAAATACAGATGATTTACAACGAACATTGTGACGTTTCCTCTTGTTCCGTAAAACACCGTTGAGAAGCCTAAATTTAGGCGCGCGCGCGTTTTATGCCCTTTTAGAATTGAATCAGCTCGCGAGAGAAGTAAATACGTCGTCGTCTTTTGAAGAGATGTTGTAACGGTCAGTTGAGTTTGTTTGCCATATAAAAAAGTGTGGCATATTTTTAGGCTTATATATAACATGAACCATTAAGCTGATTTTTATTTGGAACTTGATCGTGAGAAATTGTAAAAAAAAAATAATAATACTAAAAATAATAAAAGCATTTATGTTATAAAATTTTGATAAAAATTAATTAATTAAAAAAAAAAATAAAAGTTTCTATAAATGTTTCTATCTATGGATCTTTTAAAATATATGAACAGTGCCCATGCTTCGGTATAAAACACGAAATAGTCCGTCTCAAAAGACGTCCCTGCGTTGGGGCGATAGTTGTGGCCATTAAGCAATTAATCCATCAACCAATACTAAAGCCTATCAATTGGGCGCCACCACCTAAATAATATAATTAACAAAAAACTATTGCCTATTTTTCGTAGACATTTTACAAAAAAGATATTAACTAAGGCCACATTTAAAGAAATTCCTATTTTAATTAATAAAAAAATAAAACTAACTAAAATTTTTGTGTATAAAAAATCTCGTTAAAGTTTAATACTATCTACAAGAAAAAAAAACAAAATAGTTACCTGTCAAGTGCTGTGTGAATTTAATTTTTGTTATTAAATAAAAAAATTAAATAAAACAATAACAATGTTGCATAATTTTAAGCAAAGTCCTATTTTCGGTTCCTTCAGTTGTTCACTCTAAAAGCCAATACAGTTTTTTTTTGTTTTTGAAACTTCGAATTTTTTTCTTCGGTGCGTTATTAAGTGATTATTGTGGTATTCCACACAAGCCACATACATATTAGCAGGAACGACAACAACAACAGTAGGAAAAAAAACAGCAGGAGGAGGAGAGTACATACCAAGGTAAGTTAAACAACAACAACAGTTTGCTTTCCAATTTTCCAATGACAGTAAATGACTCTCTTAAGTAAACTTGACGGCTAGAGACCAGCTGTTTGTGGGTGCGAATGAATGAGAGAGGAAGAGAGCGACATTGAAATGTATTCATTTCATTTTTGTTTTGTGAATGAATTTTTTATAATAACCGTTAAAACATGTGCGACATAGAAGAGAAAGAGAGAGAGAAAGGAAAAACTCTCTTCTTGTTTGAACAAATTGTCTCATTGTGTAAAGCATACTTTTAGGCTGTAGTAAATAAAAGAGAATTATTGTAAAGGTATATAAAAAGCCATTTACTAGAATACATACATATATTATTTACATCGACGATTTATATAGG